TTTGCTTTTCTATCAAATTTCCAGGTGACGCTAATGCTGCTGGTCTAGGGACCACACACTGAGAAACGCTGGTCTGCTACTTAGGAGCAGGGACTCTGGAACTAAGTTTCTAGTTCCCAGCTCTGCTCCCTCAGCTGAGCCACGCTGGGCCACAGTTGCCTCACCTGTAAAACCGGGCTAATCCCAGTCCCTACCTCATAGGTAGTCTCTGAGAGGGTCAGATGGGTTAACATGTGCCTGGCACGTAGCAAGCCCTCTATACAGTGGGCTATTAGATAGCACAAAAAGCAACTTCTCCAGATTCCTGTCCAGGTTTCACACTCACTGTGGGACTTTGAGGACAATGTCTCACTTCAGATTTCCCGTCTGCGCTAAGAGCGCAATGCTCACCTAGTCTACATTCCACGCAGGGTACTCTGAGGACCAAATGGAAGCTATGTGAAAGCACCTTGTAAATGCTAAGCACTGTACAAAAATACTGCAGCTAAATGCTGGAAGAGAACATGAACTTGAGGTTAGAAAGGCCTGGCCTGAAATATCAGGTGAAGTGGGCAGCCGTCTGCCTCTGAGAGCCTGGGTTCCCCGTTTCTAAAGTGAGAGAAATAACAGTGAAGCCTCAGAGTTGCTGAGACATGTCCTCCAAAGCCCTCCCCTGGGGTCTGTGCCCCCCTCTCATTACGGCTGGTACTGGGGTCCAAGGGTTTCACCTCAGGGTCAATGCTGGTGCTGGGTCTTGCCCAGTTGCCCTCCCACAGATGTGCTTCAGAATAGCAGGCTAATTGGAAGCTGTTCCAGCTTGAAACTGGCTGACTCACACACAGGCCAGCCCCCCTCAGAGCCCCTGGAGTCCCCGGCTCATAGGGTTGTGATGAGGATTTAACAAGAGGATGGATGGGGTGTCCCGCCCAGAATGCACAGGGGCAGGTCCTTAGTAAACACTCCTCTCCTGGCAGAGGTCCTTTCAGCCCCTACCCAGCTGCTTCCAAACATCTTGCCTCTGGGAGCCATCAACTCTGGAAGTGAATTCCTTGCAGCCTGAAGAGGTTTCAGAGCAACTTTATTCTCCAGGAGCGAGGTGGAATGGCCCCCTCCTTCTCCAGGAGGGGAGGGGACAGTCAGAGGCCTGTTTAATTTAATTTAACGCACTGTGGCTTGCCAGGTTGCCCCTGGTAACAGTTTCAGCTACCACTTCAGTTACAACCAGAAGGATTTTTAAAGAGACAGCTTGTTTTAGGGCCAGAATTGCACAACAGAGTGTTTGGCTTCCAACAGCTTCATGGCAGGGACAGAAGATTGAAGTTCAAGAGCAGAGATCACTAGATCTATTTATACCATTAACTCCATTCTGTCTCTGCAATCCCATAAACCCACCTGAAAATTCCACTTCTCAGTGGCATTTGAGGAGGGACTGTGTTTGGAATTTGTCATACAGATGTCACTCAGCTAGCTACTTTCTGAAAATCAGTTTTAATCTTTAGGTTGAAGGGAAGGAAGTGTTAATGCTTATGAGTTGCCCCTGCAATTCAGGCATACTGCCACCAGGTGGTAGTATTGCTTGCTTCGTGCAAACCATAACCAGGCTCTTGAATTAAGAACATCCAAGTGGTGGTGAAACCACTGGGTTTTAATCCCTGACTCTAAGTGGTGTGTCGCCTTTGTGGTCTCAGTGTCCTAAGATATTTAATAAGAAGATTGGTCAAGATAATGAGTGTTGTGGATCTGGCATGGGGCTAGGACTCTGAAGGCCTGTGTTTCAGCCCCAGCTCTGTCATGTACTGGGTGGTTCAGGCACATAACTTAATTTCTTACAGTTTGAAAGCCAGACAAGAGAGCGGCTATGAACCAGGGCAAACCCTGAGGGCGCCACATCACTTTCCAACACTAGGGACCTGTGGAGGCCAGAAAAGTGGCTGGGCCTCCATAGGAGATCTACAGCCCTGGAGCACAATGGTGGTAGAGAGAGCAAGGGTGAAGCAGGATGCTCTGGACTCCGGGGTCAGAGATGTCACTGCTCCACAGAGAACTGATATAGGTCACAGTGGCAGAACAGCCTCCTAGACATCCCTAACCTTGCTCAGCTCAACCGAAACCAGGAGGAAGGGAGCAAACATTTCTAGAGTATGTACTCTGGGCCTAGCACTGCCCTCACAATTCTGTGAGGCTTAGATCATTACCACCACCCACACCCCTTGCAGATAAGGACAGAGTTAAGGGGTAACTCAGCTTCCCAGGGTTGGCCATCGAGGCTCTGCTCTTTGTATTACGGCTTCTGAGTCTACATATGTTTCTGCTGTGGCTGCACTTCTTTTTGTTAGAAGTCTGAAAAAGGAGCAGGGGGCAAGTTCTGTTTAACCCCATCACGATTCTGTTTGGCCAACTTCAACGTGGGGCTGGGGCCAAAGGTCATGAGATCACACCAACAAATATCCAGGGAGCCTGAGCACACATGCCTTTGGTCCTTCCAAGATGAGGCACTGGCATTATGTCAAGGTCTTTAACCAGCTCGGCCCATGAATCCAAGTCTGTGCAGATACAGCAGGTAAGGCAATCCAGCAGCACATCCTACCCTTTTGCTTGGGCCAGGCCTCCCACTGAGGATGGGCTTTAACTCTTGGGGCCTGCAGCTTTCCCCTCCAGACAGAGCTGTTCCCAGCTAAAGCCCCGATATACACATTCCCACCCAACTAACAGGATTACTCTTCAAGGTGATGTGAATGTAAAAATGCATTGAATCTCAGCACTTTCAGCTCTAGCCCCTTCTATGGCTCCCCACTGCCCTGCAAATGAGTTCCAGGTTCTGAGCCTGGCATTCAGGGCCCCCTCTTGATGTACCCCTACTGACTCATCCCCCAAGTGGCGTTCCAGCCACTCAGGACCTCATGCATCACCCCCTGCTCCCTGACACACTTGCATCACTTATCTCTCAGCTTTTGCAAACGGTGTCCCCTTTGTCTGGAATGGCTTTTCTGGCCACATCCAGCTGGGTGAGTCCTACTTGTCCTCAAAAATCCTGCCCCAGGACCTTCCCTGGTGGCACAGCGGTTGAGCACTGGGGCCAGGCATGTGTCCCGCATAGAGCGCAGACCTCTCCTGCCGCCCGCTGCTCCCCTCAGCAGTGTGTTTCGTCAGTCTGCCTGTTCTGTTCCCGGCTCTGGCTCTGGTAAATTCTCTCACCTCCCGCGCTTCTGACTGTACCAGTACTTGTATAAATAAATAAATAAATCTTTTAAAAAAAAAATCCTGCTCCAGCTCATCCTCCTCTGGGAAGCCTGGGGACACTCCTGAATGATCCAGGATACCCCCTCCCCAGGTACCTGCTGTTTTATCATCTCAAATCATGGCTTTGCCTCTGACTTTCCTACCAGAAGGGCACTCCTACGGGTGGGACCTGCCTCTCCTCTTCTGCCCCATAGCCCAGCCTGGGCCATACAGAGAAGCTACTTGGTGCGTAGTGGCTGAGAAATGTAGTTAATGGAGCCTGCTCTCAGACCCAGGTTAAAGCCCCTGCCTAGATTTGCAGCCACACCACTTCATGGGGGCTGACTCACAGGTGCCCCTGCCACCCATTCCCCCTCTAGCACCTCCCCAGAGTAGCCACCACCCAACTTGCCAGCATTAGACACACACACCCCAGCACCAGGTCCCATTCACAGTCATGCGTGTTCCTCGCTCACCAGGCTGCCATATATCTCCTTGCTGAATCTTTCATTTGGAATGCCCTCGCCCACTCCCCCACTCCCGCCATTTCTGAAATACCTCTGCTATTCCACACCCACCCTACAGCCCGTGCTGTGCAAGAACTTCCAGAGTCTTTGGCTGGAAGTGCCCTCCTCCCCAGCCTGCTGCATTTATCTGTGTCCCTCCCATGACCTTGAGCACATTTTGCTCTGTCCTCTAGCTACTGGCACCCTGGTGTGGTGAGGGGAGCATGTGCTTTGGAGCCTAACAAGTGGATTCAAATCCTGGCTCTGATACTCACATGCATGAGCAAGTCTCTGTACCTCTCTGAGCTGCAATATCTTCCTCTGTGAAATGGAGTAACAACTACCTCCTAGGTGGCTGTGAATTGAAATGATGGCTGGATCCTGACAAGGATCATGATGAGGGCCAGGCGCGTGGTCCATCTCTGCTCTCTGGGTCTGCTCCCCAGTCCTCTAGCCAGGCTGTGTGCCCACTGGGGGCCTGAGGGCAAGTCCCATGCAGTGCCTCATCTCCCAGCACCCAACACAGGGCCTCATGCTACGTTCTAGAAAGCTGGCTACACTGAATGCATTCACCCCGCTGCTGGGGTGGGGGTGGAGGGATGATGGGGGTCCTGAGCTGAGGAGACCCAGGTGGGTGGGGGGTGGTGAGTGCAGAATCAAGCCTGGAGATCAACGACAGCAGATGAATGCAGAGGGCGGGCCGAGCCCGAAACAGAGCTGCTGATATGCACTGGGGGTTTTATTGGTTTTCATTAAAATTCCTTCCCGAGGCAGGAGCAGCTATTCCCATAAATAACGGCATAAATATTTTATCTGGTGCCCAAGTCGGTCTAAATGCATAGCAAGGTTGGCAAGAATAACAATGGGAAAGAGTTCAGGGTGGTCGTGGGCTTCAGCTGGGCTCACTCAACATGCCCAAAGGGGAGAGGCAGTGGACAGTGGGCGAGAAAGAAGGTGGCCAGTAGTGGGCCCTGGCAGGGAGGGGGATCCAGGACATGGTGGGGGTAGGAGAGGGGAGCTTAGCTTAACAAGCCCAATGGGAGGAGAGAAACCTAGCCATGCTTGCTCTGAGTGGGTGCCTGACATGGGGCATTCACACAGGTTGTCTTGGCAAATCTCTGTGATCAGAGAGGTGAAGTAATTTGCCCGAGGTCACTCAGCAACCAGTGGTAGGGCCAGGAATATAATCAAGAGTGTACTCGCTACTTCTCGGGGTTCAGGAAAAGTGGGGGAATCTATGAACAATGGCCTAGGTACCTCCATAACAGGCTCACAGGCCATTCTCTGCTTCCCTAGATTCCAACGGAGGAGAAAAGGAGTTGGTACTTCACCATGGCAACGCTCTTCATCAGGTCAGGCAGTGGGGAGGGGGTGGGGGGAGGACACATTGGATGGGAGGGAAAGGTAGAGGGAGAGATGCAGCCTAGGCCCAGAGGGGAAGTGGCTCAATAGCGCTCCATGACAACGGCTCCCCAAGTTCTCCCTGCCATTTGCAACACACTGGGGACAGCTGGGAAGGGGATACCTACCAGCCCTTCCCCCTTCTTGACTGCAGGCTGGATGGCATCCTTCTGGAGCTGGGAAGCGAGGAGCAGAGGCGGCTGCCCGCCTTCAACCGCACGCTGGCCCTGCTCCGGCAAGTCCTCAAGTCCTCGGACCCCCACCACCGAGGTAGGGGCACGTGGGAACGGGTGGGAGAGTAGAGTCTGCCCAGCTCACCTGTACCTGTCACGTAGCTCTGCTAGTCTCTGTCGTTGTCCCACCTCAGTGAGTGCAGGCCACTGACCCTCTGTCTTCCGGGGGGGCTCACCCCTTGAGGGGAGCTGGCCTCTTTCCTCCTCATCGCTCCCCTCCCTCTCTCCACCTGACTGCTTCTCAGAGACCTTTCTCCCACCCTCATGGCAGCTCTGGCCTGGTGCTACCTGGGGATGCTGCTGGAGAGGAAGGACACGTTTTCCACCACCCCCATGGGCGTCCACGACTGTGGGTACTCAGGGACCGACCCCCTGGACTGCTTTGGCAAGGTATGAGTCGCTCCCTTCCAAACTGGGAAGGGGCCTGACAGCCCAGCCTCCTCTCCGAGCACCTGCTACTTCTCTGCTATCACCCTCCATCACGCTCCCCACCCAGGAAGGGCCTTCCTCGAGACCTTTCTCTCCATCCTCTCCACTCAAAACAAACTCAAATACTCCCTTATCACCCTCCCTCTTGGCCTAAGAATCAGACCCTCCCCACCCCCAACCCCATCTGTGTCTCTAGCTTGTCTTCTAAGCTGTTTGCCACTTCCCAGGTAGAGCCTAGACTGTTTCTCCTTAAGCCTTTCTTCTCATTGCCGCCCCCAGCCCTGGCCCACAGAGACTGGATAGAAGATGGGTTAAGTGTGGCTGTTGTTGCTAGCTCTGCCCCGGGCTGTGTGACCCTAAGTCTCCACTAAAAGATATGCTCTACCTGCCCTCTGGGTTATTGAGAGACTCATAGGAGGAAGTGGAGGAAACTATTTGCTATAAACTGTAAGGTGCTGTTCAAGCCTTACCCTTGACACCCCATTCCTGTGGCAATTTCCACACACAGCTCAGTTTTGAAGTCTTTCCTGGAGGCCCGAGACCCTGTGATGTCCATGCAGCTGTGCATCCAGCCTGAGCCCTGCCTGGGGTGCGTGCCTGATGTGTGCTGGTGGCTGGATTAATGAGGAGAGGCAGAGGCTGGTTCTGGCTCCTCCTCCCACCGGTGCTGCACAGTGAGGGAACAGACCCTGGCTGTGTCTGAGGAAGTGGGTTGCTGGGATCTGGGGGAATCACTGAACATGACCCATAAATATGGCAGGAGGCAATGACTCAGTCTATCAGGAGTTGAGCACTCGTTAGTTACACTGCAAGCTGTTGGGCTCCCTCTGGCTAAACTTACTGGTGGTGGATCAGGGAATAAGAGCATTGTAGGGACATGGCTTCCTATGGTTCCTGTGGCTCCTGAGGGTTCCTATGGTTCCTGAGGCACCATTGAGCCAGTTCTGGGCAATGATCAGATGAATGATTTGCTTTTACCTGCCTCCCTTTCCCAGGCCATCGAGATTGCGAAGGACCAACCTCCCATCCTGAATCGCCTGGCCAAAATCTTCCACTTCCTAGGAAAGCAGGACATGGCCATTGGAATCTGCAACATGGCCCTGGATATCCTACGAGATCCAGAGCTGAACAGGCAGGCATACTGCACGAGGGCCAAGGTGAGTCAACAAGTACTTTCACAGCCTCCTGCCTGCAGGAACCAGGCACAGGACCAGGGGTCAAGAGCCTGTTGCCAGAGTCCAAAGGTCTTGGAGCCCTCAGGCAGTGTGTGTCCTGTAAGGTTGGAGAGTGAGAGGATGAAGGAGCCGCAGAAATCCCTTCAACTGTGACCTGTCATGGCCCCCCATTTTAACTGAATACCCAGAGCAGTCAGACTGACCTGGGTTGAAATGTGGCCTCTCCACTTATCACTGTGGGGCTTGAGGCAAGCCTTTTACCCCTTCAAATGTCCATTTCCAAATCTGGAAGATATGGATTAAAAACACCTCTCTTGGGCCTCTCCGATGGCGCAGTGGGTTGAGCGCAATGTTGTGAAGCTGTCTGCAGCCTCTGCAGCGTGGGTTCGATTCCCGGCCAGCCAGGGAGATACCCACATGGTGCGGCAGACCTCTCCTGTCTTGCCCACTGCTCCCCTCAGCAGTGTTTCCAGTCCATCTGCCTGTTCTGCTCCCTGCTCTGTCGCTGGTGAATTCTCTCACCCTCCTGCTCCTCTTGTATAAATAAATAAATCTTAAAAAAAAAAACCACCCATTTTAAAAAGTTGTCAGAAGACTAAGTGAGGTAACATCAAAAGCACCATGTCCAGATCAGAGCAGGTGCTTCTGAGGGGCAGCAGGATATGGTAGAGGGGGTCTAGTGGAGATCAGAGCTCCGAAGACAGCCAGAGTGGCTCGGACCCCACAGCATCACATGCATGCCAGGGCACCACAGATAAATGAACTTGCCTAAACTCTGAGCCTTGGTTTCTTCATCTGTTGCCTGGAGATGATCACATCTGCCTCATGAGAGTTGTTATTGGACTGTGGGCTCACAAGTGATTGATTGCTGTTATTAGGGGTATTCTTACCTGATTCTCTGTCTCTTGAGGCATTCCACTACATGGCCACTCAACTCTGAAAGTTATAAATTTAGCAAAGAGCTGCCTTCCTCTTCTGCCTTGCTTCCCCCACTGGACTCAGATCTGCCCCCACAGCCCATTTGCTTGGGGACAGAGACCCAGAGCTTTGAGTTTATTTTACTCCAGGCCAAACAGACTAATACCCCTCCCCCACCTTTCCCAATACCTTTCACAGGTCTAAGAGCAAGTCTGCTCCCTTGGTCTTGATATCAACGACATGATCATTTTGCCCGCATATAGTGGGCAGAAAACTCCTTCATTGTACTTGATGTAGTAATTATTGATAGTAATATTAATCATAATAGTAAATAAAATATTTCTGTAATACTTTGCATTTCGCCCAGCATTTTTGGGTTCATGGTCTGATTCAATACTCACAAGAATCTGTGAGAGGCCAGACCTGTGTCATTTTACAAATGAGCAGAGAGGAATTTGGTCGTTTTGTTCTCTAGCGTGTCCTCAGTGCCTGGAACAACACCTGGCACAGAGCAGGCTCTTGATGAATACTTGTTGAATGAATGAATGAATGAACTGAGCACCTACAGGAGCTAGGACTTGGCTAGAATATGCTCCCTCAATTATCATGGTAACTGCCCATGGAAGATATCAGTTGTAACTAATCTTTCAGATGCAAAAAAATGAGACTCACAGAGGTTGAACAACTTTGCTGAGCTCATAAGCAGAGAAGGGCTAGAATACAACCAAGTCCACTGGCTCCCAAGCCTCCCACCTGCTCCCGCCATGATGCTGTCTTAGAACCAGAGCTCACCCATGACGATAAAGCATTAATACCTGCAACAATGACCAGCTTTTCCTTCCTCCTCCTCACCTCTGCCCCACCCCTCTTGAATCTCTAGATTTTCTACATGTTCCAAGTGTAGGGAAAAGGGAAAGATAAAAGCAAGGGTCTTGAATCATTTGTAATTTGATGTTTGTAAGTTTGGGCCACCTTCCTAAGCTGTTTGCTTATGTAGAGTCTCACAAAATCACTTCTGCATCCTATGTAAAGTAACCTTCTCCCCCAGCCACCTCTACCCCATCACCCTGCTTGTTTCTTTTTACAGCACTTATCACCACCTGAGAGTATACTGTTTATTTGTTGTTTATGATCATCTCCCTCCTAGAATGTTATGTTCCACCAGGACAGGGACCTCATCTGTCTTATTACCACTGCACCCCCAGTACCTAGCACAAGGCCTAGCATCTATGGTGGCAACTAATACATAATTGTTGAATGAATCAATAAATGGGGACTCTTACTTCATCCAACATCCTCTTTGTACAGACAGGGAAGTTGAGGTCCATAAGGGGAGTGGCTAGCCCAATTTGGCACCAGACTAGGACCTAGGACTGCTTTATCTCAGTCTCAAGGGCTTTCTGCTGCACCCCAGACCCTCCTCCTCAAGTTGCTGTTAAGAAAAGATTGGCTTCATTTAGGGTAGAAAAGAGGGTGGGATCCTGGCTTGGAATACCTTCCCTGAGCTGACTCTCTGGAGGCAGGTCCACATCAGAGCCTACCTGCATGATCTGGAGCGAGCCAAGATGGGGCTTGGGGGCTTGCCCGACAGGAACCACCTGGCCTGCGCCAAGGCTGACCTGGAGGAAGTAGTCAAGGTGTGCCCAGGGCTCAAGACCTATCTGGACATCAGCCAGGTAAGACAACCTCTAGGCTTGGGTAGCCAATGACTTACTAAAAACCTATTGCCAGGCCAGACCGAGGCACTGAGGACTCAGGGAAGAATACAGGCCTCCCTCTGCCTCATGACAGTACCCACCTCCTACAGATTAAATGACATAAGAGATGTACAGCATTTAGAACAGGGCCTAGCTCTTTCTAGGTATGAAACCATTAGGCTTTAGCCACAAGTCCAGGAAATGAATACCGAGAGGTGACAATATCATAATTTTACATATAAGGTCCAGAGATGGCCACGCTTAAGGTTATGTGGCCATGAATGGTGGGGCTGGAGCCAAAATCAGAATTGTCTCCTCTTTTCCAGGAGAGCTAGGCCAAGATGTGCAATGAGTAACTGTCAAAGGAGGGAGGGTAGAAATGAACAAATGGAATTTTTTGAAAGCAAAAGTGGGAATATGAGTGGTAGCAGCAACTGCAAAGGGGGGGGGGTGGGCCTACAATGAAGAGAGGTAGGGGGGTGGGCCTGGGGAGGGGGTTGTTGAGAGAAGCTCATCCCACTGCCTCCCTCCCTAGGTCTACTACTACATGGGCGTGGACGCAATGCAGGAGTTGCTGGCGGTGGACGAGGCGGCGCTGAACCAGGCCCTGGTCTTCTTGGCCAAGGCTGGCGAGTCGGAACTGGGCGCCACGCTGCCCGAGCTGCAGCTGCTGCGTGGCAAGTGCCTGCGCATCAAGGGCGAGGAGGCCAATGCGGCGGCTTGCTTCAAGCGCGCGGTAGAACTGGACGACACAGGCTCCAGCCACACCGAGGGCTTCGGCTGCCTGCTCGAGGTGCTGCTGGCCCAGTGGAGCCAGGCGCAGCTGAGCGACGGAGAACTGGGCTGCGAGGTGGATGTGTGGCTACGCCGTGCCCAGAGCAAGTACCCTGCGGCGCGCCTACGCCAGGAGCTGCAGCGGGTGTGGCGCGGTCACACAGGCGAGGTGCTGGGCCTGGCCCGGACCTTGGTGGCCCAGGGACGGCCGGCGCTGGTGCGGCTGCTTTTCGAGACCATGGAGCTTGAGGGCGAAGGCATGGGGGCACCTCGGGGCAGCCGGGCACTCTCCTTTTGAGGGACCAGGAAGCCCCGCCCTGCCGAGGCCCACCAACCATTGATTGGAACAGGTCTGTATGCTCACCCCTTAGGCTGGCAGTTGGGGAATTTGGGCACAGTGAGACTTTAGGCCAGTTGTGGCCTCGAAGGTGAAGTACCCAATTCAGGAAAGCAGGGGAGGCTGGAGACAGATGCAAGAGGCCATTGGGAAACTGCCAATCAAAGGACAGAATTTTGCAAATATGCAGAGAAAATAAGTGAGTCTCCTGAGATACAGAAGGTAATTGCCTCCATGAAGGCAGTTGCCTAGTCCCTGTGCTCAATCTGAGCCCAAGTGTCTGCCTTTGGATTCCCTAAAAAGCCCCCTACCTAAGTTGACTCGAGTGGGTCCTGCTGCCATAAATGCTGTGGTTGGAGCAGAGGGCAAGTCTTCACAGAGGGGTAGGGCGGTGGTCTATACTGTGTGCCCAGAGTTCCTTCCTGCCACTCCAGCAGGCTTCCGGCAGGCCTCATCCTTGATCAGCTTGGTCTGAAAGGCCCAAACTCTCTGGAATTAACCCATTGGTCAGACTTTTGCTTGACTTCCCTGTTCTAGGGACTTAGGGACTCCACCCATCAGGAAGTGCCTCCTGCACTCCATCTTGAAAATTCTACAATAGAATCAAGAAATTCTTGGAATTTTACACTCTTGGAATCATAGTCATAGAATATGATTGTGGAATTGTATTGTCAAAGACAGATTCTGATTGTCACCAAATCTTAGAGTGGCTAAGCTGGATTCTTGTGACCCTTCCCGTAAGAGTTAACTTAACCTAAAATTATAGATTACGCTCTCGCCATATGCCAGGAATGCTGGCTCTAGAAATTTGTAATGGCAAGATCCCCATAATGGTTTGTGATTTGTTTTGCTTTTCCTCCCTTTGTTTAATGAGCTCTTCTCACTGCGTCGCTCATACCCCTAATCGTCAGACATTACCAGGGACGGGACAGCACCTATGCATTGCATCTCATGGCTCCATGACAGCTGGAGGACAGGCTGAGATGTGAGGTTCTTAGCCATCACACACCCCAGTTCTGTCAGTAAGAAGATGGGAAGACTGAGAGACCTAGAAGGGAGGTGACTTTCCCAAAATCACACTTCCTACCTTCGCCATCCTGTGCATCAAACTTACTTTCAGCATTTTTCAGGTTTGGATAAATACTAATAAAGTACTTAATACGAAAGCATTAAGTGTTTATGTGTTAAGGGTTAATATGTTATTTGTCACAAGGTGCTCTGGGGACAACACTTCAACATTGATGGTGATATTTCAGATACCTGTGAAATCTGGGCCGTGAGGCACCCCAAGGACTCTGTATTCCACTTCATGGCTTATCACGGCTCAACACCTTGGGGGGGACCTTCTTGCCCTCATTCCAGCAGAGTCCAAGAGGTCACTCAACAGCACACAGCTCACTCAGCCCTTCACTTGTCCTCCCAGGCCCTTCTCTGTCACAGTTGTCACCTGTGGCTTTCCCTAGGAGAGGCTCTCTTTCTTCCTCTGTGTCCCCAGAGAAACTGAATTCGAGGCAATTTTCTGGCAAAATTGGGAAGTTGTTGAAGTTGGGCTATTTCTCCAGGCTTCCCAGTTTGTTTCCTTCCTTGCTTTGCCTGTCCCCAAGGTCATATATTCCTCTGTCCTCTTTCTCCTGTCAAGCCTTTTCAATAAACTTTCTTTCTGATGACTTCATTCCCACTAATTATACATGACTAACAAACACCCACTAGAGCTTGTTTGGGGGTATCTTGAACCCCATTTCCAGACCCACAGGCCAGTGCTCTCTCTGCCTTTTCAATGAGCCTTCTTTACGAGGTTTACTTCTGCCAAGTCTAGGACTACAGGCCTTACTTCATTCATTCAACAAGCACTTCCTAAGCACTAGCTGAGTGCCAAGCATGGTGCCGTGCTCTGGGGCTATAGCGGAGAACAAAATGGCCCCAGCCCTCGCCACAGGGAGCTCACAGTCCAGGCCAGCAGAGCAGGTTATGCGGGGCTTTGTGGCTGCAGCAGGGACTTTGGAAGATCAACGGGAAGCTAGTAGCAAGGTTTTAGTGGGCAGAGCTGGCTACCCACACCTTCCACACTGGTCACGCTCATCCTGTGTGAGAGGCCTTTCCCCAACCAGCCCAGTGGGGTGGAAGGGGAGATGGCCTTCGGTTGCCCCTCTTCAGCAAGACACTGTTAAGGCCAGGCCTGGCGATCCCCCAGGACTAGGGCTTTCGCTGATAGGGAGAGACTAGTGGGTGGATGATCTTTCTTTAATTACAGCTGTGAGCCCTGCGCACCGGGCGGCTGGGAGGACAGCTGTCTGTCACTCGACTGAGGCAGCATGAGTTCTTAGGGGAGCACTGCGGAGTAAAAGGCTTAATGATCCCATAATCGGCGTCAGGAAGATGAATCACACCTCATGCTGCCACCCGCCCCTTCCCCTGCATCTAGCAGCCAACATCACTCAGTTAGAACCTCCTCTTTAGAGTGTGAGCAAGGTATGTTCAAGATCATGAAAATGGGTGAGGTTTTCCAGTTACAGTTTCTAGAATTTTGGAGTTGGAAAGAAACTTGTCGCAACTTCTTGCAGCTTGTCCACCTAGCGCAGGCCCCTGCTCACCTGTGAGTGTTCTGTTGCATGCCTCCGGCAGACGGCCAGCTCACTACCTCTCGAAGGAATCAATCTATTTTCACCAGGCCTCAGTTTTCTGAGTTTGTCCTTCTATTGAGCTGAAATCTTCTTTTCTCTTGTACCTATATTCTGACTCAAAACAGACTAACAAGCATGGTGACCTTGAACAAGTCCCTTTCCTCTGACCCCATTCTCTCTGTTGCGGCATCACAATGTTTGAGTTGTTCGGAGGATGGCTGGCTACTCTGCCGGCAGCAGGCTGAGTTCTGACCTGGCCTCCGGCTGCTGGCCCCCAGGCTGGAGCCTGCACAGGGTGGGGGTGGTGTTAGCAGCTGGAAGCAGAGCGGGACTTCTCCCCATCCCTAATCAGGCCCCAAGGGAGCACCCTGTGTGGATGATGGTGGCTGGGTGCCAAATGAAGTGAAATATCTCCTTTTCTCAGGCTGTTAACTTTTTTTCTTGTTTAAGGAAGGGGAGGATAATGACATTTAGCACTTTACAACTCAGCAGTAAAATGAGCAGATGGAAACAGATCCCCAGCATTGCGGGCATGCTTCCAGCATGAAGCCTCCCAGCTCCCCAGGCCCAAGTCACTGGCAAGGCTTGCAGCTGGGGTTAGAGACACAGCCAGCCTCTCCTGCTCCCCCAGCCCCTCCCCCACAGGCAGCGCCTCCTGGCTGGACTTTGTTCTCACCTGCCCCCACTTTCACTTCTTGCCTTGTTGCCCTCTTCCACCAACCTGGAGCACCTTCCCACCTCCCAGTCTGGTTGGGATGTGACTTCTAGTTTTGAGCTGAGAAGAAGAGCTAGGGGATACTCTTGGTCAGCAGTGGTGAGCAAAAACTCCTGGGGAGCTGCAGAGACACTCTAGCCGGCCTCTAGATGGCCACAGAAGAACAGTTTGAGCAGGGAAGGTACAAAGAAAATGATGGTCATCATCATCACTTTCACAGCTTTTTCCTGAGGACTTGCCACCCGCAGTCACTTCACGCTGCACACACCTTACCCCAGTTAACCTTTTAATATTCACAAGCCCGCAAGTTTTCTCACAAATCCCATCAGTGATCTCTCCATTTTACAGGTGAAAAAACTGAGACTCAGAGACCTCAGGTAACTTTCCTGAGGTCCTGCCACACTGTCTGGAGTGGCAGACGGGCTAAGGAGTACTGATGAATGGTTTTCTAACAGTTTAGAGTTTACATTATTTTCTCTTCTATCACATTTTTTTTTTTTTGAAGATTTATTTATGCATACAAGAACTGGGGTACAGGCCAGAGGCGTGGGAGGTGGGATGATCCACCAGAGACAGAGTAGGGAGCAGAACAGGCAGATCCACCGAAACACACTGCCGAGGGAAGCAGCAGGCGAGTCCGGAGAGGTCTGCCGTGCCATGTGGGTATCTCCCTGCCTGGGGATCGAACTCCTACCGCAGTGGCTGCAGATTGCTTCATAGGTTGCGTCTTAACCCCTTGCGCCACCAGGGAGGCCCCTCTTCTATCACATATATTGTTGCTCTTTTAACTCCAAAAATCTGAAGGTATCTTTCATGTTTATTTTTCTCTATCAGTCAATAGCTCTGTTGGGGGGACTTTTTCTATTTTGGCATGTAAATTGTTTCATTATCCTGCAGCTCCTCCATGAGTTTTGTCATCCACAAAGTAAAAGAAACAAACAAAAGAACCCCCACTGTGGTGGAGCTCTATTGTCTCATTTGCCTAGAACCCCTCCCTGCTGGGAATAGCATGCTTCCTCTTCCTGGGCTACTGGCTGTTTCTCTCCCACCCTGAGTGGCGGGGCCGCTGCCAATCACAATCCCCCCCACCCCACTTGACGGCTGACATGTGACACAGGTTGGGCCAATCACAGCCCTTCCCAGAGAGTTTTCCTACTGTTTGTAAGGAACCCATAATGCCGCCTGTCTGTTGGAACAGCTATTATACTAGGATTGGACTTACACCCCTAAACAGTTTTATAAACAAGACAGCATGTATTTATCCTGCAAGGACAGCTCAAGGATCCCATCAGCACTGCCTCTCACCTACCAGGTACCTGCAGGAGTGGTGCTATTGCCAGCACCTGCCACTCACCATCTGACTCTCCAGCTCCCAAGTACCAGGTAATTGATGCCCCTGGGAGCAGCCTCCAATCAATGGGGGATGGAAATTGGGTAAATACCACAGTCTGATAGACAGGTGAGATGATGGGGAGTAGGATAGTTCTGAAGTACACAGTTGGGGATAGGTCATTCTCCCACCGAAGAAACCGATTTGCTGTTTTACCCTGTATCCATGTCCTGCCCTTCCTGTCTCACTTCCTCACCTCCCTCCCCCACCAGTGCTTCCTGGGATCACCTCGCAAATAATCCGCTTACTCTGGAATCCTTGACTCCCAGTCTGCTTCTGGGGAAACCCAGCTTTCGATACCCTGTAGTCCTCTCTTAGCCCAAGATGCCACTTTCTTTGTACCTCTACTATCTTGTGTTTGTGAAGTATAAACTTCATACAGGGGTATAGGGGCAAGAATGACACAGTGCAGGTTTTCTGATCCAGCAGACCTGGTAAAGGAGGAGTGAGTCTTGGAGCCCTCAGTGGCTTTTGCAGGCTTTTATTGGGATTTCCTGGGTACACAGCAGGCAGGGGTGCTGGGGGCCAGGAGGCCTGCAGGTAGGCCTCCCGGCTGGCAGGCCTCCCGGCCCCCAGCAAGTCTTCATTCTTTCTGGGCTCTCTGGCGTTCTCTCACGTTCTCTCTGCTTCTCCTTCTGTCTCTTGGCTTCTGCTGGCGTCCCCATGACGCCGCCCTTAAAAGCCCAGTCTCAGCCCAGGTGAATCCCATCTACCTAGGCCCACACCCTACTCCAGGTGCCCGCCATCAGGCATGCATTCAGGACCGGAGGGTTCCGTCATCTATCCTGATGGTGGGAGGGCAGAAAAGCCTGATACTTTTTACCTTACCCTACAAGGGGATTCCCCGTGGCGCAGTGGGTTGAGGGATGCACTGTGAAGCTGTCCACAGCCTCCGCAGCTCGTGTTCGATTCCTGGCCAGCCAGGACGACGCCCACATGGCACGGCAGACCTCTCCGCTCCTACCCACTGTCCCCCTCAGCAGTGTCCTTGGTCCTTCTGCCTGCTCTGCTCCCCGCTCTCTCTGGTGAATTCTCTCGCCCTCCCGTGCTTCTGACCTGTACCCCAGTTCTTGTATAAATAAATAAATCTTTAAAAAAAATAAACTTCATACAGGAAGGAATGTATATTTATTGTCTAAGTACCAGGCATCTTTCAAATACTTTACGTACATCATCACATTTAAATACTTAAAAAGTCATCATCTCATTACACACTTAATGTTACAAAAGAATGCTCTGGATATATTTCTATTACTAATATTTATACAGAACTTTTATTTGGCAAGATTCTTTTGTAATAGTGTTTGCTTGCTCTTCATAGCATTTCATTTAGATTCCTAAAGAGGGTGCCATTGAGCTGGGTCCTGAAGAACAGGCCTTCAGACCGAAGGGGTCGGGCCAAACAGAGGGGTCTGTTTGGGTGACTGTTCCCTCAACCTTGGTTACTGATTAAGAAGTGATTGACACAAGTAAGTCACCACTACAAAGACAATCAAACTGCATTCAACAGACCTGAGGGGGGACACTTTCTCCCCTGTTAGGAGACCATGGACAAGCTAACCAACCTTTCCAAACCTTGGTTGCCTCATCTGCAAAGTGGACATGACAGTGATATTTATACTCATGGGGTTATTGTAAGGATTGAATTAGATATGGTGTTAAGTGTTTGCTGTGGTCCCTGGCACACAGCAAGTCTCCATAAATGTGAACAATGATGATGATGGCCATTGGTAGCCACACACTTCAATCCTGAGGAATTAAATTGCGAGCCTCTCCCCCCAACCCCCGACACACACACACATACTGCCCCCTTCTAGTCTCTATCATCCTAGATTTAGGCACTGAGTGAACAGACAAGCCATGTGGAAGGGGACTGGCGTCCGCACACCAAAGCAGTGGGGAGTCCTTCAGCACCAGAGACTGCAGTAGTGGTGTTCTCTCCTTGTGGCGGTCCAGGGGAACTGTGAGGTTCCCAGAGTCTAGGAGTTGAGGGACGGGCTGGACACTTTTAATTACACCTGTCCTTGACCTTCACATGTGGTGGCATTGTGATCTCTGTCTTATGGAGGAAGAAAGGAGAAAATAATTGACCCAAGGTCTTGAGCTGGGAAGTGACACAGCAGGATTCCAAGTCAGGGCCACCCTCCCACCTCCGGTTCAGTCTCTCTGGGTCAGCTAGGGCTAAAGAGACGCAAGTGGGCTCAGGAGAACACCAGGCGGCTGTCCCCTCCTCTCCCATGCACTGTCCCAGCTTAGGCCGTTATAAGAGTTTCCCTTCTGGCCTCCCTTCCCATCCCCTTCCTCCAATCTGGGTTCATACCTCGGGCAGAGACAGAGTTGACCATGAACTTCTCTAGCGTCAAACCCTTCCACTAACTAATGACAGGCCTGCCCTCACCCTGGCCAGTGTCTACCTAGGAGCCCTCAGCAAAGGAGGTGGCCACCTTTCAGGAATGATAATATTTGTTTTCAAATTATAACAAATATATTCAAAGTGTCTAGGGGATTTTTGCCAGAGGAGGAGTTGCTTTGGGCTAATCCTCAAATCAGGGGTGTGTGTATGTGTGTGTGTGTGTGTGTGTGGTGGGAAGGAGACTATCATTCTTCACAGAAAAACTTTCACTGGCCTCAAAGATGAAGAGAACCTGGCAATCTGGAACATGGTCCAGCATGCCCTGCACGCTGGCGCCCATTGCCTCTCCCAGTGGGTTTCCGAGACACGTGCTTGTGTGCTCAGTGGTCCTACCAGAACCATCCTTAAGTCCTCTTCCTTATGGCCAGCTGCGACTTATTGCCCCTAGGACTAGACTGTCTTTCTTTATGCTTTTTTTCAGTCAAAGCTCCTTTAAGTTACAATCTCATGCCCCCTCTTCCAAGAAGCCTTCCCTGATACACCCTCCTCCCCCCATGCAATGCTGCTGTATTGTTGCCCTCCCCTCTTCACACCTTGTTACCACAGGGTGCCATGGCTACCACTTTGAGAGAACCTCTCCAGGAGTTATGAGCAACCTGAGGTCAGGGAATTTGCCACTAACTTTGTCTTCACTTGTTCATTCCACACACACTTGAGCCCTCTCTGTGCCAGGCCGCAAGCTCTCAATGCAGGGGACCAGGCCCCCTGCTCCAAGCTGAGGATTCCCTCAAAAGAGAAAAACCCACACCTGCCCCCATGTGGCTCCCAGTCTGGCCAGCGGCCTGTGGAAACCGTAAATGCATGGTGTGTACTCAATGCTGTGAGGCCCCAAGGTACGTGTGAGTGTTCTTGTGTCTTGGTTTGGTTTCGATGACAATGTATACATGAATGAATGAATGAATGACTTTTTCCGTGGTTTTTTTTTTTTTCTGTATATTAGGGAATTTGTGGGGTGTTAGCCATGAATGAATTCTGTAAATCAAGGTGCCCAATGAATGATTGATGAACTGATTCACTGACAGGTCACACAGGAAGTTGCTAGCAGCCGCAGGCCTCAATTCTGGGTCTCCCATCCTAGACTTTCTCACTGGGGACCACATCCACTCTGACTATGGCTGGCTTGAGCAGGAGTTACAGAGCCTCCCTCACACTCGCAGTAAAATGCAGCAGTTTTCTGCCTGCCTCCCAAGGGGGTTGTGAGCATTAATTAGTTACCATTGGTAAAGTGCTCTGAAGATGTGGGGGTGTACAAACACGGCAAGTCATTAGGCCTCTCCACACCACTATGCTCTACAGCCTGGGAACTGCTAATTGAGAAATAATTAACACCTCAGGGTGCAGAGGACGGATGCCTGGCTTTTCCAGGATTGGAAGGGATGTAATAATGTGCCTGGGGAGCAGGGGAAAATATAAGGCTACTTTGGATCTGAAAATATATCAAAGATTATTCACCTCCTGCCTCCAAAGAGGAGGTGTGGGGCATATTGCCTCAGGAAAATCTTTGGAACTGCATTCCTTGGGGAAAGTTCCAACCACAGTGCGGGACTGCAGAGCTGGGCTCTTAGAGCAAAGCACTGAGCATCAAGCCAGCTCTGCATGGCCTCCTGCCTGATGAACAGATGCTTTTTTTCAGCCAAAGCTCCTTTAAGTTTCAATCTCATCTCCCCTCTTCTGAGAAGCCCTCCTTGATACAACCCCCTACGCCCATGCAGTGCTCTGCCTTGGTATCTTGCCCTCCCCTCTTCACACCTTATTTTCTCAACTGTAAGCCTGGGATGACAACAAGTGTCTACCATCTCCCTGACTCCCCCATGAGGGTGTCTATGGCGCTTCATTTAGACCAGCAGCTCCAGTCTTGGTTGCATATTAGGGTATCTGGGGGAACATAGAATACTAATGCCCAGGCCCACACCAATCACCAGCATCTTGGGGTTGGTGGGAAGAGGGATGTGGTGATACCAGAGCAGTCAAGGCTGAGAATCACTGTTTTGGCCAGTGTGTCAAGTACTGTTTGGCTCATATCAGGAGCAGTGGCTAATAAAGACATAAACCCTACCACATCCCATACTCCCCCATGGTAATGCCTTTCCTGCCTCCACTGTGCGCATTGCCTTTCACAGGCTGTGGCAGTGTCTCCCAACCTTTCTCAGGTCACAGACTCAGTTGGGAGTGCACCTCCTCAGAGAAGCCCTCCTTTCCTGTGCTCACAGGAGCCTTCTATCAGTTCCCATTACACCACTGATCACAAGGTGTTGCTTCTGGCAACCCTGTAAGGCTGAGAGCTGTTGGGAGCCAGCATCAGAATCACCAGTGTCTTGCATTGGGGGCTGGCACATTTAGGCACTCAGTAAGCTATAGTTCCTACTAGTCAGGGAGCATTGTATGCTATGTAGCTCTTGCCTCAGGACATTTGCACATATTGTTCCCTGTGTCTGCCACATTCTACCCCAAATATCTGCAAGGCTTGCTCATCTTCAGATCTTTACTAAACTATCACTTTCTCTATGAGGCTTTTCCCAATCATCCTATTTTAAATTGAATTCAACCTCCAACCCACTCCCCTTCCCTAATTTTTCTCCACAGCACTTAACACCACCTTATTCACAGATCCTAGCTTTATATTTAAAAATTGGTAATTTGTTCACAATAGATATTTTCGTTAATTTAAAATGTAAGGACACTGTTTGCCTTGACTACAGAATTCTTTGAGTCCCCTCCCCCCTTACATTTCACTGCCTGGGTTTAGTGGTTGTCTCTTCTGACTGCAACGTAAGCTACATGGAATGGAATGCAGAGAAGTTGGTTTGTCTATTTGGCTCACTATTTCCAGTTTCTACAACATTGACTAGTACATGGATGCTGCTCAAAAAATATTTTGTGAATGAAAGTTTGGTTTAGCGTCTGTAAGACTGTCTTGGGCTTTGTAATAAAGGTACCTTTTCCAGTTGTTTAAGTTTTTTAAATTTAAACTTGAAAGCCTGTAAAATCCTAAGGGTAGACTCGAAACTGCCTGGCCCACTGTTGCCATGGTTACATTGGTTCCTCGATCCCGCTCTACTCTGAAAGGGGGCGTGCCCTAGCAGTGGGCGGGAACACCTAACCACTCCAGGAGGACCGCTTTGACCATAGAGATACACCCTCCTAAATCCTAGAGGGCACTTCCGGAACGGTGATTTACTCATCGCCACCTGGCCAATCCGTGACCGTGGGGAGAGCCGGCCGTTCTCTGTTTGGCTAAACTTCCGGAAAACCTTTCCCGGGCGCCTAGAAGGGGGTGGGGCCAGAGCTTGAGCGCGACTTTGTGATTGGCTAGAAGGTTGGAGGCGGGGCGTGGGGGCGGGCAGCGCGACTTTGTGATTGGCTAGAAGGATGGAGGCGGGGCGTGGGGGCGGGCACGCCCCGACGCTGGCTCAGCGGCCCAGGGTGCGGGTCGCGCGTGGCGTTGCTGGCTGGGCCGCACTTGGTGAGCGTGGGTGGCTGCGCGGGCTCAGGCCGGGCGGGGGCGGCTGGGTGGAAACCGTGTTGGGCTCTGGGCGAGGGGACCCGGGATTCTGCGTCGGGTCCTTGGCTAGGGCGGGCGCATGATCACGTGTACTCCTAATTCTGGTCTCCTAATAGCTGCTTCCCCAGATCTCGGAAGAGGCAGAAGTCCCCCCTTTCTCTGCCTGCGGTGGCTGAACGTCACGGTGTTCTCGGGGGGCAGTCAGGGGTCACCTGGTGATGGCTGGGCCAACCTTTCCACTTTACGTGGGGAACACTAAGGCCCAGAGAGTGGAGTTATTTGTCCAGTGTCCCCTGGCCAGTGGAGGCCGAGCCGGTGCTTAGAACTAGGTCCGAGGTTCCCCTGCAGTTTTTTGCAGCACGGTCCGTGCCGGGAACTTCGTGGGGACCTCGCCTTCGGGTCTGTCCCTTTGCTTTTCTGTTGTGTCGCTTGCCACAAGTGACTTCACATCACTAAGCCTACCTCTTCCTTGGGTTGGGCATAATGATAGGGACGAACACTTTGTGGCTTTTAGGGCAAGAGCTGGCATTGTTGTGTTTTGTGCAGTTTTCCTGATTGGATGGCAGGGAAATTGGGAGTCATAAAAACTTGAAAAAAAGGTCTGCGGGAAGGTCGGAGTAGGTGATTTGTAAAACCTTGCTGAGTAGGTGAATGGCTCCGAGCCTCTTTGCTAGAGTTTGAGGTGCAGGGTACAGTTACTGCTTCTGAGGTTTGTCTGTGGATAACTTCGAACATTGTTCATTACTTAGTAATTACTATGTGTAATCAGGGGTGCACTCAGGATAGGCATCAATTTGCTAGGGTTGCGGGAGCAGACAGCTCACGGCTTTTGTTTAAATTATCCAGATAATTATCTCCTTACCACACTTTACTCTTCATTTACCAATGTATTTGATCAGCAACAAAATGTCTTAAATATTAGACATTGTTCTGGGCCCTGGAATATAAAAATTATAGACAACCTTCTGGATTCAAAGTTTAATGGAGGAGAAGAATTTGAAATCTTGTTAACTCCTAATGCCTGGCACATAGCTGTTTCTCAAAAACATTTTTGAATTATTATATTGTTATTCCAGTATAGTATTCTGTAAAGAGGTCTGTGCTGTATTCTATAAAGAGGTGAATGTTTGGAGGGATTGGAGAAGGCTTCTTGCAACAAGTGAGTCCCAGTGATAAATTAGTTGCTGGTGGGGGAGGGGGGCCGTGCTGGTTATTCCAGTAATGATGAGCATTGTGGGGCATGTTAGGGGACTGATAGGATAAGAAGCAAAAAGAAATGTGTTGGGATCATAATATGAAGAGGTTTTACTGCCATTCCAAGAAAATTATGGGGAGCCGTTAATGAGTTATAAGCAGGGGAGTGATGGGATAGCTATCTCTTTAGCTAATTATATGAAGACCAGACAGACGGGCCAAGAGTCATTCCATTCATTGATAAAATGTTTATTGAGTGTCTGCTGTGTCCAGGTATCAGGCTGGATGCTGTGGATACAACTTGGAGTAAAATAGGCGTGGCATTTGCAGTCTAAATCAGGCAGGGGACTAGGTAGTGGTTTTCATAGTTTTGTCCTGGGCTTAGCAGCCTCAGCAACACCTGGGAACTTGTTAGAGATACAAGTTCCCTACCCATGCCCCAGGCCTACTGAATCAAGTTCTGGAGGGTGAGGCTCCATAATCAAAGCGTTTTAACAAGCCTTTCAGGTGACTCTGATGCTAGCTTAAGTGAGAGAATCACTGGGCTCCTGTACTGTAGCAGGCAGTTATTGAGGGTCAAATCAAGGTTGAGGCAGGAGGGGGCTGGGCTTGAGAGAAATCCTGAAGACTCGTTTGCTTTAGGTGTCAAGGCTGAGGATTTTCTGAGTCAGGCCTGGTCTGAGGTGGCACCTTGAGTAGGAATGGAGCCAGGTGTTAACTATGTGGGCCTCGCCGCCAGGGCCTGAGCATTTCCACACAGTGGCACTAGGGCTCTGGCCGTCCCTTCCAGCCCTTTTCAAATTGCAGGCCACATAGGAAATGGTGCTATTTGTACAGGCATGGCAGAAATGGATGAAGCTGTTTTGGGTTGGAGGGGACCCAGTGGAAGACTTGAGGTGGCTAAAAACTGGAGGGAACTACCTGGGGGAGTCCAACTTCTCAGAGTGGCCAGGACTCAGCCTCTTAGATGAGTTTATATCCTTTAACTCAGGAATTCTACTCCAGAAAATCTCACCCAAATATAAAACAAACAGAAGTCTTCTATTCGTTGTAGATTATGTGTAAAAGAGAAAACGGACAGCCCTCTGATAGAAGAGACATTTTTTTGATACCATCAATCAGCGGACTGTTGTCCTGCTGTTAGGAAATGTGTGACTGTTTTGTAAAGCCAATCCGGAGTCGGGTGTGCCTGGCACCCTGAGCTGCAGGATAGATTCTAGCCACCCAAAATACTGAACTGAAATAAGCAAGTTGAAAAATGAATGAACACAAGTTGTTTACCATTAGAAGTGTCTGGGGTCTTTATTTAAAAGTGGATGAGGTTTCTGTGACAGGAAACATGCCATAGGAATTGAACCTATCTACATTGAGGACTTATTACATTTTTACAAATGGGGAAATACTACTTTTAAAGGGCAGTAGGAGGTAAGAGAAGTAGAACTTTGATCTGCTGGGATGTAAGAAATGAAAGGATTTGCACCTGCAAAACCAGTGGCTGCCTTAGAAGGCTGTTGGAAACCAGGTGGAGCTGGCAACCTCATGGTGTGAAAACACAGTTACACTTCTACACAACTCATTTTTCTCCAGGCCCAAGCGCTTCCCTGTGCCAGGGTGACATGGAAGGACTGCTGACGAGATGCAGAGCACTGGCCACTCACAGCCACCATCTTTCTGGGTACATCCCCCACAGATTTTACTGTTCCCCAGGGAGAGGGAAGCGCATGGTGCTCTCCCGTGTATTCCAGCCCCAGAACCTTCGGGAAGACCAGTTGCTCTCCCTGGAGGGCAGATCTGGTGAACTGACCTGTAAGAGTCAGCAGCTGATGCTACGGGTGGGCTTGATCCACCCAGCCAGCCCCGGCTGTTACCACCTCCTGCCTTATACCGTCCGAGCCATGGAGAAGCTCGTGCGGGTGATAGACCAGGAGATGCAGGCCATTGGGGGTCAGAAGGTCAACATGCCCAGCCTCAGCCCGGCAGAGCTCTGGCGAGCCACCAACCGGTGGGATTTGATGGGCAAGGAGCTGCTAAGACTTAGAGACAGACACGGCAGGGAATACTGCTTAGGACCAACGCATGAGGAAGCCATTACAGCCCTGGTCGCCTCCCACAAGAAATTGTCCTACAAGCAGCTTCCATTCCTGCTGTACCAGGTAACAAGGAAGTTTCGGGATGAGCCCAGGCCCCGCTTTGGTCTTCTCCGCGGCCGAGAGTTTTACATGAAGGACATGTACACTTTCGACTCCTCCCCAGAGGCCGCCCAGCAGACTTATGGCCTGGTGTGTGATGCCTATGGCCGCCTGTTTGACAGGTTGGGGCTGCAATGCATCAAGGTCCAGGCGGATGTGGGCAGTATTGGGGGCACAATGTCTCATGAGTTCCAGCTCCCAGTGGATGTCGGCGAGGACCGATTTGCAGTCTGCCCCAGCTGTCACTTCTCGGCCAACATGGAGACACTAGACTTGTCACAAATGAACTGCCCTACTTGCCAGGGACCACTGACTGAAACCAAAGGCATTGAGGTTGGCCACACATTTTACCTGGGCACCAGGTACTCTTCCATTTTCAATGCTCAGTTCACTGACGTCCATGGCAAACAATCCCTGGCTGAAATGGGGTGCTATGGCTTGGGTGTGACTCGGATCTTGGCTGCTGCCATTGAAGTTTTCTCTACAGAAGACTGCATTCGCTGGCCCGGCCTTCTGGCCCCTTACCACGTCTGCCTCATCCCCCCTAAGAAGGGCAGTAAGGAGGCGGCGGCTGCAGAGCTCACAGGGCACCTGTATGACCACATCACAGAGGTGGTGCCGCAGCTACGTGGGGAGGTCCTGCTGGATGACAGGACCCATCTGACCATTGGAAACAGACTGAAAGATGCCAACAAGCTTGGCTACCCTTATGTGGTAATTGCTGGCAAGAGGGCCTTGGAGAACCCTGCACATTTTGAGGTTTGGTGCCAGAACACCGGTGAGGTGGTCTTCCTCACCAAAGAGGGAATCTTGGAATTGTTGAGCCAAGTGCAAGTTGTCTAAACACCCCCACCCCCCACCCTCCGGGCCCAGGCCCACTCCCTTGCAGCTGTGGTGTTCATTTGAACAGCGCCCTTCCCCACACTCCTTTCTAGGGCTGGTCTCTCCAGAAATAGGGAAGCTTGTGGAACGTGAGATGTGTTAGGAAGCCAGTATTCATCTAGTCATTTATTCAAACTGCAGCTGACCCTTGAACAACTGTGGTGTAGGGAAAACAACCCCCCATGCACAGTCCCCAGAAACTTAACTATTGTTGTCCTTTGGTGTCTGTGGGGGATTGGTTTGGTTTCACAACCCATATCCATAGTTTGAATCCATGAATGTGGAGCCCAGCTGTATTTGTTGAAAAAAAATATGTCAGTGGACCCAGGCAGTTCAAACCCATGTTCAAGAGTCAGCTGTGGCTGTATTTAAAGTCATTACCTTGATCCCTTTGTCTGGACTGACTGAGCTGCATCCTGCCAGTCCTGTTATATTCTATTGTGGAAGCTTGTTGGGAGGCAGGGAGCTCAGAGTTCTCTCGGCCTTCAGGTGAGTCATTTCCCATCTCAAGTTGTTTCTCTTGAGCATGGGAGTGACTGGTGGCCAAGGCCCTCCCTGCTCTAGGGCCTCTGGCTGCAGTCGTCTAAAGAACAAGCCCATCAGCCCCCCTGCACTTGGAGACATCCCCTCCCCAGACCTCGGTTTCCCCATCTGTGACATGTGAAAATAAACATCTGTGAGTACTTAAGTGGTCACTGGTCAGTTCCACAAGAGATTCATGACAGGCAGATCTGCTTAGGACCTGCGTCCTCTGTCATCTAAGATACACAGCTGGCCCTGTTGGGCAGCTTAGCACTGAGATCATGTTATAGTGATTGAATAAAGTCAAACTGTTGGAATGAGCCTTGCATGTGAACTTGAAACAGTGGTGACACCTGCCGCTCAACAGCACAGTTTCTGCCTGTCTTGAAACTATTATGTCTATACTACACTCAAAAAAAGAAAATTGGGTGGCGTTTTCCCCCACAAGTATCAGGCAGCGGGCTTCCAATACCTTGTCCTAGGTACACAGCTGGATCCTGGAGCTATGACGGGGTGAATACTAATGTCTCTGTCTGGATTCTGGAAAACTGGGAGCAGACTTGAATTCCCACAGCAGTGCTGCCTGCTTTCACCATGCCAAGTCACCACACTGGGGACATAGGTTGCCATGATATGTCTAAATCTAACAAGAATTAATCAAGGCCACGCTCAAAAATATCCCCTCCTGACAACATGCCTGGCAGCGCCTGGAAGTGGTTTTCCTCTTGCTCCCCCAGCAATGGCATTAATCTCGCCACACCCAGCTACCTGTGAGGTCTGCTCCCTGAGCTGATTGTTCAGGCTCTGCAGTTGTCTTGGACAGTTGTTCCACCTCAGCCTGTTACTGCTAAAGTACACACCCTCAGGTTTCCTAGTAATGTACATGCCCAGCCCTGAAGACTCTCAGACCTGCCACTGGAGCCCAGCCTTCAGGCCAAATGTGGATTCCAAGAGCAAACCTAGAAAGCCTAACCTGTTGGGTGCACATTGGAATCACTTGGGTCCCACCCTGAGGTTCTGGGGTGTGGCCTGGGCATCAGGAATCTCCTGGCTCCCCGCATGATTCTAATGTGCAGAGCCCATTGAGAGCTCCGGGTGTAAGGTACCTGCTTTCTGAGCTTATTTGTATTTGGGCATTCCTTTGAGTAATTTCAGTTGTGTATTACCAGGGTGATGTGAGCTTTCTGCCCCTACTCTCTGGTCAGTTGCTAGGGCCTGCCACATGCCACTGTGCTGTGAGGCACTGTCATATACAGTCTGAATACGTTTATATTCAGACTCAGGGCCAGTGCTGTTACTCTCATTTTAGATTTAGAAACCTGTGACTGTTTAAGCAGCATTTACTCAAGGATGCACACCTACTAAATATCAGCTAGAATATGAGTGACTGAAACCTATTCCCTTCCCATAACATCTGCTGAGACCAACGTGACTTCAGTAAATCTTAACTATTTGGGTCTATCTAATCAAGTTAGCCTAAAAGTAAATGAAAAAGCTAAAATCCATGCAAATGGGTACTTTGTTTTTTTTGGTTTCATGGTGTTTTTTTTAAGATTTATTTATTTATGTAGGCCAGCGGTGGGGGTGGGTAAAGCAGATTCACCAGAGAATGGGGAGCAGTGGACAAGGCAGGAGAAGTCTGCTGCGCCATGTGGGTCACCTCCCTGGCCGGGGATCAAACTCCTGCTGCAGTGGCTGCAGACAACTTCATAGTGCTGAGATTTAACCCCTTGCGCCACCAGGGAGGCTCCACAAATGGGAACTTTGAATATCTTTTTTTTTTTTTTTTTTTTAATTTGTACTCCATAAGTGTATTTATGGAAGGCTAACCTTCCATAATGTAAGCACTTAGAATCTTGTCATTTCTGACCAATTAATTTTAAACTTTATAAATGTGCAAGTCCAGATTTTCTGAGGAGGATCTAAAACCATGGAACTTTAGATCAGGAGGGAGCTTGAGCCCATCCCATACGGGACCTGGACCTGGAGTGGGAAGGAACCTGTCACATTCATCTGCACAATGCCCTGTTGCAGGCCAGGTGCCATGGGTCCTGAATTGGGCTGCCCCTGGTCCATCTTGTTGCATTAAGAGAGATCTAGCCGGACAGCTGTTGAGCTACAAAAAGCCCTATTTATTTATTTATTTATTTTTAATAGAGGCATGTTTTATTTGTTTGTTTTGTTTATACATGCACTGGGTACAGTCAGAAGCGCCGGAGGGTGAGAGAATTCACCAGAGCCAGAGCGGGGAGCAGAACAGGCAGAAGGACCGAAGTACACTGCTGAGGGGAGCAGCGGGCGGCAGGAGAGGTCTGCGCGCCATGTGGTGTGGGACCCTCCTCCAGTGGTCAGGGAGCAGCCAGGGATCCAACCGGCACCACAGAGGCCGCGGGCAGCTTTGCAACCCAGCGCTCAACCGCTGCGCCACCGGGGAGGCCCAAAGCCCTATATATTTAAAGCCGGTACCTGACCTCTATTTTCCAAGGAAGACAAATCCTGGGAGTATTGTATCTGCCCAAGGTCAAGCTGAATGGAAACTTAGATGCCTGGATGACTAAACCAGTGTTTCTTCTAGTGGCCAGGCATAGTATAATTTGGTGGAAAGGATCAGAATCTTGGAGAGACATAATCCTAGATCAACTACTCACGGGAATGTGACCTTAAACAAAGGACTTGCCCTGTGTGGGCTCAGATTCTTCCTCAGTGCCAGGGCTGCCTGTCTGTGCTTGCTTACATGCAATGTTTAACCCTCAGTATGCACTTAGGAAACATTTTCCTCCAGCAGGAGTTCCCCCCATTGGGAGCTCAGCTTCCGCTATTATCTTCAGATCTGGATCTTAATTTTCTTGGTAAGATGTATTATAACCTTCCTGGGGCACGCCATGAGTAAGAACTAAGTACTGCCTTTGCCTGGCTCCATCTCCTAAGAGGAAAGACAAACACTCAAACCTTACTCTCTCCTTCCTGAACTTGCTAGTGTTACCTCTTGCTGTAAATTGATGAAGTGGGGATGCTGGCAAAATAATAGGTACAGGCTGTATTATCATTGCTCATTCCTTGGGGAGATCTAGAAGCAACTAACTGAGAAATATTTAGCAGAATTAATACTTGGGGACAAAGGCGGGTGCATAACAAACCCATTGTGTAACTCAAGCTTAGAATGTAAATCAAGAGCTCCATTAATATTCTGTGTTTTAATGGAAGAAACACCTGCTGGGTTATCAGGGAAGGAGCTTTGCAGAAATCTGTTGAAATTGTTATTTCTTTTAACTACTTGAGTGCCAGGCCTCTTGGCATGTCCACATCCATTTCAACATCAAGAAGGCAGAATGTTTTTTAGGATGGATTATTCTGTGTCAAAGGGCACATAGGCTTTATTTCATAGTTAGGAAACTGATTTTTTTGTTTGTTTTCTGTAATGTGGAAAATGGGAAAAGAAATATTTTCATGATACTACTTAGGGAGCATCTGAAACAGAAACAGGATACTTAATTTTAAAAATGACTTCATCATGGTGATCCAGAAGAGACACTCTATAGTCAGACCGCCTGGGCAACTTAATAGCTTTCTGACCATGTATGTGCAGGAGACCTCACAGTTTCCTCATGGGTAAAATGGGGACAGCAGTGTCTGGCTCCCAGCATGTTCTTGGTAAGTAGCCCCTGTGCTTTGCACACAGTAGGTGGGTAGGTAGTGTATGTGGATCTGCAGAATGTGCTGGCATCTCTGGGTCTCCGTGGTCAGGTAGCACCTCGGTGCAGGGGTGGTGTTCACTACTCTTTAGCCAGCAACTCTCAAAGCTGCTAATTTAAAGCTTAGTTGCTCTTGGCTAATTAAACATTAGGGCCAGGAGTGAGGAGGCAGCACTTACCAGTTAATGGTAACAGCGCACCCCACTTGTCAGCAGAACTTGTTGCCCAGGCCCACCCACTGGCAGTGTGTCAGGTGCGGTGGGCTCTAGCAGGGGTTTCTGCAGACTGGATTCTTCTACCCAGGCAGACAGGTTGGGGACAATGCATGAAGATGAGTGCAAGACTTGACAATAATCTCAGAGTGAGCAGGAAGGGCCGCTGGGTCTATCGCCAACTCCTGAAAGGCAGGGGCTCAGTCTTTTTACCGGTATTATCTCCTGAAAGCTCAGGGGAGGTGAAATGCAAGGTCTGCCTCTGCTTTTCACTGGCTTGCTAACTGTGGGCATCCTCTCAGTGCCACTTGTCAGTACCTCTAGAGGTACTGGGAGGATTAAGTGAGCTAATAAAGCACCTAGACTGCTGTCTAATACATCCTAAGTGCTCAACAGATGGCAGCTGTTACTGCTGAGCCAGGACTGTGTTGGGGAACAAAGAAAATCATGCTGTATTTCTGGGTTCTTTGAAGCTGGGAAATAAGCATTAGATAGGCTGGTAATGGAAAAGCCCCAAAGTTAAATAACAGGTATACCTCCTGTACATATCAGAGAGCCCCACCATGACTAACTTGCCCATGTGGCTTCCAAAGCCAAGTTAAACAGCTAAGGCAGAGGAGGAGTTTGGGGAGGGGCGGGCGTGTGATGTGGGAAAAAGGGAAGTTCATCATATAGCATGCAATTTTAACTTCTGCCTTTTCCATTGAAAGGAGAAGGAGATTGGCACACACCTTTACAGGCATTTACAAGCAAAAATCTTTTTCAAAGGTTAACCTTCAGGGCCCTTCCCATAGAATCAGCCAAAAAAGCTTATTTTCTTCATCCCCCTGTACCTTCACACATACTACCTCTGAAATAGGCCCATTCAAGACTCCTTTGCTTTGTTACTGTAAATGCTTCAACAAACAGGCTGTGTCTAAATAAATGTTTTTATTTTTTTGGATTTAGTGCAGCATTCCCCAAACTCAGCATTGTTGACAGTTTGGGTCAGATCATTCTTTCCTGTGAGGGCTTTCTCGCACACTCTACGATGTTTAGCAGCATCCCTGGCATCTACCCACTAGATGCCAATAGCATCCCACCAAGTTGTGGCAAGTCTTTATGGTGCCATATGTCCCTTGGGGGACAAAACTGCCCCGGTTAAGAATCACTGGTCTGCTGGCACTGGTCTCCATAGATGTGACTTGATATAATTTGGTTAAGAGCTAGTTATTGAATAGTTAGGTGCCAGGCACTGGACTGAAGACTTTGCGTGTGGTATCTACACAGAACTGCAGTAAACGCAGTTCACAAGATGGGTGCAGTGAGTAGTGTTACAGTACGAGTCAGTCCCTCCCTCACAACCACAGCAAGTCAGCAGCCACCAGGGTCCTAGCCCTAATCTAACCGTCTGCCATTCTGAGACCCTTTTCCTTCCTTTCCACTCCTGCCCTAGCTGGAGGTGACAGGAAATGAAGAGAAAGTAGAAGAGCAGAAGCTGGCTGATAACCTGGTCTGTCAGGTCCCTATGAAAGGGCTGCAGGGTGAGGATGAAGGTCACATAACCACCATTCTCAGGTACATGCACTTTTAAATGTATAACTTGCTCTTATCCAGTGTCTTCTCCCCATCTTAGGGTCTGGGAAGAGGGCAGGGTAACCAGTCTGCTTTGTAGGTGAGTAAGGCAGCATGCTGGAATCTGTTTAGCCTGATGTGTGGTGGCTGCTGTAGGGAACCTGCAGTGCCCAATGGGTTGTTGCTGTCAGGCCTCTGACATACAGCGTGGAGCTCCTACAGAGTCTCCAGGTGAGAGGGACAGGCCTTGGTGTGGACAGGCTCAGGATGGAGGCTGGACTTAAGCCTCCAGCCACACGTAGGAACCTGCACCTGGGAAGAAAGCTGCACGGTTCTTTGTAAATATGTCACAGCAAATTGTCCTTCAAAGACAATGAAGCGCACAACGCAAACCCTAAATTAGTCCATCTTAAGGACAGCAGCTGTTTTCAGTTTAATGATGTATTAGTTAGCTTTGCTATAGTAACAAACAACCCCCAAATCTCAGCGCTTATTACTACAACAAACATTTATTTCCCATTCATGTTACAATCAATGGCAGCAGGCCAGCTGCTTCAGCTCTGCTCCACGTGTCTTACATTCTGGCACCCAGGCTGAAGGAACAGCCTATATTTGAGAAATATGTTCTCGGGGTGGTGGGGGAGATTATGTTACCATGGCACGGGGAAAAGAGCAGGAGCCTACCACTCAGTGGCTTCTCCAGCCCCCATCTGGACATACCCACTCACATTCCTCTGCATCCTAAGCAGGGAAGGACATTCCTCTCTGGGGAATGGGGAGGAATGTAAGTCGTCATATGAGTATGGCTAAGGGCATATAAACCCTCTAAGAAGGGAGAGCAAAAAGCTGCAGACAAAAATACCATGACCCAACATGTATAAAGATTTTCCAGTTTAAAAGGCACAAATTCCTAAAATGTGAAAACTGGAGAAAACTCAGAGACCCCTGGCAAGTTCTCCATACTGTAAAGATCATGAAATGTGGCAATTTTTTTAAGCATTCAAGAGGATCCCAGTTTGTATGGTTTTTATAAATGCAGAGAAAGGGCCAAGCTTTGCTGGTCTAGTCTCACCCCAGGCGCCTACAGCACCCCCTACACAGCACTTTCTATACTCATGACTCTGGCCAGTGACTCAGCTTTAATGCCTTAAATTACAGGCAGGTAATGTTTATATGTGCACTATAGGGGTAGCTTCTCCAAAGCGTCTTAACTCCACGAATATATGGAACACGTCACTGGATCCTGAATCAGTGTCCACAGGCAAGCGAGTACATAGGTCAGCTGCTGTGCAAACTGCAGAGCTGGAGGCTGGGGGTTAACATAGATGCAGGGAGCCCAAGGCACAGAATTTTGTGCCTCGGAGGGGAGGAAGGACCAGCTGGAGCTCAGCAGGTTGCTCAGAATCCACTCTTCAGGGAAGTCAGCAGCCCCTCCTGGCCGTGTCCAGCTGGCTGAAGTGTACTGGATCTGGGTAAAGGTGAGTGAGGGGGGAGTTCCAGGGGCCCTGGTTCCCACGACCTGGCTCAGTCACTTTACCTGGTGTACCTTTCTCCCCTGGAGGTAATTCTTGCAAAAGGGGGAAGATCCTACACAGACCAAAAATGCAGGTGTCAGGGCTTTGACACAGCACCTGCAGTGAGCACAAGGAAAGAGGGCGTTAATTGAATTGCAATCTTAATCATCCATGGACCTTCCCAATGACATTCAAGGTGAGCCTCTGGATGTGTGTCAACATTAAAATGCAAGTATAGCACATTTGTTTTGTGGTTTATAAACTTGGCAAATTAGCATGACCCCTCTATACCTCATAACCTAGCAGAACCTTTGTGCCAGTCCTCTAGCATATCTGTGACTAAATAAGAAATAGAACAAGAACATGATTTCACTCATTCAGTGACTACTGGCATAAGCCAGGCCTTGTGCTACAAATATCAAAAAAACAAAAAACCCCAATAGTCTCTGCTCTCAAGTCCTGGGAGGAGTGTAATAATTGATGGCAAAGCACAACTAGAGACACAGTTGTGAGGTACCACAGTAGCCCTAGGGAGAAGTGAGCAAGGCCTTGGCCCCCCCAGGTCAAGGGGTGTGAATATACCCAGGAGGCTTGGATTTGGATAGAGGAACCTGCATCTTAGCTAAACCAGCTTCTCCACATAATTTCAAATTATTTGATAATGAAAACTCAACGGAAAACAAAATTAGGAACTATTTTAAATAACACTTTAAGCGGGCAATTTTTAGAAGATAATATTTTTGTCATTTGGACTAAATTAATAGAATTATTTTTTAAAAAAGCAGAATGACAAAGTTGCCAGAAACTGGATTCTTGCCTATGCTATTCATTTAAAAAGTAATCACTTCCAATTTCCTGAGAAGCATGAAATTGGTTTTCCTCCACATATCCATCTGCTTCTATTTAGATTTCTCCCCCACTTTTTGGAGATGGGATAGAGTGGACTGCAGGGCCTTAGGAATTCTGGGTAATCTGCTAACTGAGAAAATGAACAGCTAAAAATCTGTCTATAAGGTAGAAAAGAGATTTAGGGCCAGGGGGAAAAAAAAGCCACCAAGAGAAATTATTGGTCATATAGTCATATCTCTCGTCACCTCCTGCCTACCAAACCAAAGCAGAAGCATCAAGACCAGCTAGACACCCCCACCAAGTCAGTCAACGCATAGCTGATTCCCATACAACCAGTCAATGTCCTACTCCAGATCACACCATGACAGAACACCTAAGGGCCTCTTTGGTGGTGCAGGGGTTAAAATCTCAGCATTATCAAGCTATTGCCAGCCACTGCAGCAAAACTTCAATCCCCAGCCAGGGAGCTAACCCATGTGGCGCAACAGACCTCTTCTGTCTCGCCCACTGCTCCCCTCAGCAGTGTATTTTAGTAGATCTGCCTGTTCTGTTCCCCACTCTATCTCTGGTGAATCCTCTCACCTGCCACACCTCTGGCCTACACCCCAGTTCTTATATGCATAAATAAATACAAATCTTTAAAAAAGCAAAAGAACACTTAACCTATATATTACTCTAAACTTTACCTAAACCAACACCCTCTATGGTTCCATATACCACTCCTCAGCAGGACACTCAAGACCTTTGCAAATGGCCCTCACTCAGCTCTCCAGCTTCATTTTCCACCACATCCAACTATCCTCATTCCCCTAACACATAAGCCCCTTTTAGCCCAAATGCAAGAGCATTTGCTTTGCTCAAAGCTTAGGGAAACCTAGTCTAAGAGTCAATAAATCTAATATAGGGCATTCCCAGGGATACCCCCAAGACTAAAGAAAGAGACAATTGCCCAATCCAGCTGTCACTGCTACTAGCAAAGATGCCCTCTTACAGCAAGATCACCCTCTACAGTTTACAAAAGCACTTCAACTCTCACTAGCCCTCAAATACCACAGAAATAATAGTCAAGAGTTGTTATTCTCATCCTATAGATGAGAGGCAGTCACAAGCCGGTAAATGATGGTGTGTCTGATTTTAAGAAGTAATGCTCTGTTCATCTAACAGTACTGGAGGACAAGGCTCTATAGAACAGGCCATCACAGCAGCCTTCAGGTATGTTCAGGTACTTCAGCACTTTCCTTTCTCTGACCAGTCCTATCCTTATCTCGCAGTCTGAGGGTCCCATGGCTGTGGTGCAATCACATGCACCCTGTTCAGTCAATGGTCCCATTTAATATGTCAGATCAGTTTCCATGGTGCCATCACACAGTTTTGTGTCCAGGCTAGAAGGTGGAGGAGTACATGGCAATCCGTGAGTGGTGGAACGAGAATCTGCAGTACCCCTGGGATGGTGCCTATGCCTCTTCTTTGGTCTGGTCCACCCCTGAAGCTGACTCACCTGGGGTGCTGCAGCACCTGCAGCAAGGTGTTCTTGGGAGGCACCCGATATAATTCTGCCGTGTCTTCATCCTCAAAGTAGACCTGCAGGATTAATAGGAAAACAGGAGTCAGACACAAAGGACTTCAGCAGCACTAGGCATGTTGAGGCCAAATCCAGGGAAAAGCTAGAGATAGTAATTGTTATTATCTGATGTCTCCTTTATGCAGTAATAGCCTATAAAGCATTCCGTCCTCCCTGTCACACTGTCAGAAATATCACTGACTCCATCTTCCAGACAGAAACCAGTCGCAGAGAAGGGAATAACCCACCAATAGCTGCCAACTTGTAAATAAAGGTGTCCAGAGTCAAGCCAAACCTATGGGCCTTCCCTTCCCCAACAATTCAGTCCTGGAGCTATCGGATATAGGGGAAGAAAATAGGGGTGGCCTAGAAGGGGAAGACCCGCATAGGGTGAGAAAGATGTCCATTCAGGATGGCCCAGTTTGGAGTCCAAAGCCCAAGCAGGGTAAGGGAGAGAGATGTTTGTGCAGGAGCCCAGCCAGGGAGGAGGGCTTCTTCACTGGGGGCTGGCCAGTCTACACAGGGTGAGAAGGGCTCCTAATAAGGTAGCTGTCCAGAGTGGGGTGTCAGAGCCCAGGTAGTGTGAGGAGGTTGTTCATGCCTGGAACAGCCAACATGGGATTTCAGGGCCCAGCCAGGATGAGGAGGCCAACCACTCATGCAGGGGAGACTTTTTGTGAGAAGTGGGAATCCAAGAGGTCAGAGCACATGTGCAGGGTTATCAGTGTGTGGAGGGCACTGTGCTGGGGCAAGAGCCTAACGTGGAGTCAAAAGTCTAAGTTGGGCGAGGGAGGTTCCACAGGGAGAAGGAACAGTGGTAGGTAGCCACAGGAGGGGGATTAAATACAGAGGACTGATCAAAAGAATACATATAATAATAGAAGCCACTGTTATAAAAAGGAGAAAACAGCCCTGGGGTATTAAGACACCACTGAGGGCCTCCCCGGTGGCGCAGCAGTTGAGCGCTGGGTTGCGAAGCTGCCCGCAGCCTCTGAGGCGCCGGTTCGATCCCCGGCTGCTCCCCGGCCACCGGATGAGGGTCCCACATGGATGAGGGTCCCACATGGTGCGCAGACCTCTCCTGCCGCCCGCTGCTCCCCTCAGCAGTGTACTTTGGTCCTTCTGCCTGCTCTGCTCCCCGCTCTGGCTCTGGTGAATTCTCTCACCCTCCCGCGCTTCTGACTGTACCCAGTGCATGTATAAACAAAAAAACAAAACGAATAAATAAATAAAAACACATGCCTCTTTATAAAAAAAAAAAAAAAGAAAAAGAAATCTTCCCATTGAAGACAAGATCTCAAAATATGTCTCCTCTCCTTATATATATAATTGTATCATCTTTAAAAAAAAAAAAAAAAGACACCACTGAGACCTACCCACTCCACACCTGTTTCCTAGTTGTGTAGCACTGAAAAGGCAACCAAGCAGTGAACACCCCTCCTGTGGCTCCATGCCAGTGAGTGTGCCTCCTTGGAAAAGAGGGCTGATTTCCAGAGCACTCTGGAATGTACAATTTGAGCCAGCAAATCCTGTGTCAGAAAGCTCTTAAGATAGAGATAAATCAAAAGAATCAATCTGAAAGAATTTGGTCAAATCTGGGACAGTGTGAGCATAAAATAATCACAGTGATAAATTATAATTTACTGAATAAAAGAGGAAACTGAAGTCCACTGATAAAAGCCAATAGTTGAAAGTGATGAACAAGAGAATATTTGTATCATTCCATTGCACCTCCCTATGACACAGCAATCATAAGGGGGAGAAAGTATCTGCATTGGAGAAGCCTGGCAGGCCTCCACCATGATCACATGACCAAAGGGACCCTCATCAGTAATGACCCTGATAAGATGCACCTGATAGAATGTGACAAGCACACAGCATCACAGCTGCTATTCATGTGTAGCCAAATAACACAACCAGGTCTAGTCACCAGGACACACCCACACTATCAGACCTTTCCTCAGAATAACTGGTCTGTAATTTTTAAAAGTACTGAAATAAGAAAGCTGAGCAAAGACAGACAAACTTTTCCATAGCCTGGGAGACTGAGAGGATGTGAAAGCTAAATACAAACACAACATGCGACTCCGAAGAGGCTCTGTTTGCTGTAAAGAACACTGTTGGTGGGCCTCTCTGGTGGCACAAGGGGTTAAGAAGCAACCTATGAAGCAATCCGCAGCCACTGCCGCATGAGTTCGATCCCCGGCCAGGGAGCAACCCACATGGCGCAGCAATCCTCTCCTGTCTCACCCATTGCTCCCCTCAGCAGTTTATTTTCAGTCTGCCTGCCTGTTCTGTTCCCTACTCTGTCTCTGGTTAATCTTCTCACCCCCTCCCCATTCCTCTGGCCTAAACCCCAGCTCTCGTATGCATAAATAAAATAAATCTTAAAAAAAAAAAAAAAAAAAAACTGTTGGGACAATTTGTGGAAACTGCAAGGAGTCTGATGGTTTTGTATCAAAGTAAACTTCCTGATTTTGATGGCTGTATTGATATGAATGAAAACATCCCTGTTTACAGGAAATACTTCAGTATTCAGGGATGAAGGGGCATTATTTAGGATCTTACTCTGAAATGAACAGAAGATAAATTCTTTGTACTGTTATTTGTGATTTTAAAAAAATCCTTAGTGTCCTGATCACAGTTCCTGTGTGTGTGTGTGTGTGTGTGTGTGTGTGTGTGTGTGTGTGTGTGTGTGTGTGTGTGTGAAGGGGTGGGTCTGTCCATGAAACCAAGGAAATCTTTGACACTAGTTGATGTCTTTTAATTCAACTCACTTCTGACACTATCCAGAGATAGCACCAGATTCCACAGGTTAAGGGCTCAGTCCCACTAGGTTTATCCCAATTCTGATGCCAATCACAAGTCCAGGTTGTCACCTGTGGTTCTGACATACCAGCTATAGATCAGAGGTTCCAACAAACCCCATCCTTGGGTTCAATTCATTTGCTAGAGCAGCTCACAGAACTCATGTTACTAGTTTATCATAAAACAATGTAACGCAGGAGCAGCAGATGGGAGAGCTGTGTAAGACAAGTTATGGGGAGGGGCCTCCCTGGTGGCGCACTGTCCACAGCCACCGCAGCGTAAGTTCGATCCCCCGGCTGGCCAGGGAGCAACCCACATGGTGCAGCAGACCTCTCCTGCCTCACCCGCTGCTCCCCTCAGCAGTGTACTTCAGTCAATCTGCCTGTTCTGTTCCCCACTCTGTCTCTGGTGAATCCGCTCACCTAGGATGTAACATATACTTTCTAGGTATCAATAACTCATGATCTATTCCCCCCATCACAGCCCCCAGACACCTATTCACAGAGGTATCAAGATCATGTAAAGCACACAATGCAGGCCTCAGACACTTTAACAGCAGCATCTGAAACTCTTCCCCTCTGGCCTGTACCCCAGCTCTTGTATGCATAAATAAATAAATCCTTTAAAAAAAGAAAAAGACAAGTTATGGGGAAAGGATATGGCATGTTCAAGCTCTCTCCCAGTGTCATTCTCCCTAAATCTCACCAGCCCACAAAGCTCTCAGAACTCTGGGTTTCTCAGAATATGGTTTTCTATGGCAGCTTCATTTCACTGGCCACTGGTGTCTGAACTTTCAGCCCCTCTCCCTTCCCTGAAGGTCAGAGAGGTGAGACTGAAAGTTCCAACCCTCTAATCACATCACTGGTTCACCAGCCTTATCTTTAGTTGCCCCCAACAGTTACCTCCTAACCTAACAAAAGATAGCTTCATGGAGTTCTAGGAGCTCCATACCAGAAACAGAGATGACCAAATATATATTCTTATAAGTCACATTATCACAAATCCCAACAATGGAATACTATTCACTTAAAATTCTCACACATGCTACAAGGTGGATGAACTGAGAAGACATTGTACTATGTGAAATAAGCAGATGCCACTAGGTACCTAGAGTAGTTCAAAATCACACAGAAAGGAGGTTGCCAGGGGCTGGGGACAGGATGAACAGAATTTACCATTTCATGGTGATGAAAACGGATGGTGGTGACAGTGCACAACACATGAATGTACTGAATGACATTGATCAGAGTACTTTAAAATGGCTAAAATGGTGAATTTTGTTATATGTTACCATGATTTTTCAAAAAGAAGACAGTGAATCACTCCCCACTCCTACCTCCCCCAAATCCCATAAAGAACAAAATGTCTCTTACCTCTAAATTATCAGGGCAGTATTTCTGTTCTAGGTCCCAAGAGGGCGTTTCACCAAACATCACCATTAAGTGATCCATAAACCTAGGATGTAACATGTACTTTCTAGGTATCAATAACTCATGATCTATTTCCCCCCATCACAGCCCCCAGACACCTATTCACAGAGGTATCAAGATCGTGTAAAGCACACAATGCAGGCCTCAGACACTTTAACAGCAGCATCAGAAACATGCATGTCTATCACTTATCCTATTAGGCCATAACAGTTTTCCTTACACTAACTCAGACTTAACAATTCCTCACATTTGGTCATAATCTAAGCATTAACCCTATGAAATCACACTAAATTTGCTGTCTAATAAATATATACTTCAATTACTATGCAGGTATTGACTACAATGATTTCACGTCTCATGAGAGGTATGTAGCAGTGCTTGGCAAATACTATATTGTGGTGTTATCCTTAAAGACAGCACAGCCAGAGGTGGCAAAGCAAATCAGTGAAGGGAAAGTAGGCTGGAGCATTGAGAGGTTATGCCAAACCAGAGTGAAACCCTCCAAACCATTCTCTTTCCTCCTCAAGAATATGTCCCTCCTGCTGAAATAGCAGGAAAAAAGCATGCAAGCAAGAGCATACAACTATGCAAGTACCTGGAGTCCTCATGAAAAGCAGAGATGAAGTCTGACTGTGCATACTCCGGATACAGGAAAAGCACAGGCCAGCTTAGTCTGCCTTGGTCATCCATACCCAGCCTGGCTCCGTAGGGGTTCTCAGAGCTGAGCCCATCCAGGAAAAGCTCACCTAGACCTTCTGAGTCTGAATCTTCATCTTCACCAGCAGCTTCAGGGACCAGTCTGATGTTCCTTGCCTGTTTAAAGACAGAGACACACATCCCTAAAGGTGTGGAAAGATACAAACCCATTTCCCTAAAACAGAAATTGTAACATTGCCAGCTCCCGGAGAGCCAGCACTACACGATTCATCTTCATTATCCCTAGATCTGGCACACAGTAGAAAGACATCACTTGTTTAACTCAGTTTCACTCAGCTTCAGAGTCCCTTTGCGGGGCTGAGTGAGAGAGGAGCTAGACATGGCCCCCCACCCCTAAGGCCCTGCTCTCAGTCTAGTGAGAAGAACTCATGAAAATAAGTAAAAGATAAGGTAAGAAGTGGAGCTATGAGGTACAATGAGTAATTAATATAGCCTGGTGACTAGATGTGCCTGGGGAGTACTAGGCCTAGAATAATAACACTGAAAGGCAGAGAAGGTGGGGTTGGGGGAGGGTGAGAAAGGACACTCCACCCCAAAAAAGAACATGCTCTAAGGCACAAAAAAGATCAAGAGCATGGCATGTACAAAAATGGCTAATGTTTCAGCAGTTTAGCTAAAACACGGAATACTAAGGACAATACAGTTTGGCTTTACTTTGACCGTCTCCAGGAAATAAGGCCGAAATCAAAGGCCTGAAAAGTAGACTTGCCTCTTCGGTATACGTGGAAGTTCCTTAGGCTAGCAGGAGGGGATGATTATATGCAATCAAAGTTATCTTTGAGGACATCTCCTAAATAAGAGGTGGGCAAACTTGTTTTTAAAGAATTAGGTAAGAGAATGTTAAGCTTTTTGAACCACAAGGCCTCTGTGGAAGTTAACTACTCAACTTCGTCCCTGTACAGGTAGAGCTGTGAGCCTCTGGCTATGGTTTGCTAAGCCCTGCCTTAAAATATAGTATGTAATGTTTTGTGTATAAAACTGTTGGAAGTAATTCTTATGTACATTAAAATTTGAGATACAAAGGTCTGTATGCAAATGTCTGAGAATTCCAACATTCTATATTTTAGAAAATGACAAATCCTTCACTGTGATTAAGAATTTGATGGAAAACCTGGAGTGTGTCATTCTACTTAATCCGATGTGTTCATAGATTGCATGTTGTGGGGCCTCAAAGTCAACAAGTAACTTAAATGGGTGCATGATTTACCTCAACAAAGAATGAATTAAAGAACCTATCTCCCAGTCTCACCACAGGTATGTTAATCTTCCTTGCGAAGACTAAGCAAACCAAGGCTCAAACAGGTGACTTGATGGGCAGAGAAGTAAAGATTTGGATCAGGCTACATTCATTTAAATTGCAGGGAAGGTTCTTTGCTCCCTCTAGCTGGACAGACAGCTGCCTCTTCTCAGCAGTGCCAGTGCATCCCTGAGACGACATGGTGACAGTCAGAGTGAATGGACTTGGCTGGACTGGGCATGTGGTGACCAAGGCTGCTTGATTTTAATTCTGGCGAGTGGATACTGTTGCCATTAATGACCCCTTCACAGACTTCAACTACATAGCTCATGTTCAGATATGATTCCACCCAAATTAAGTTCAGTGGTATAGTCAAGGCTGAGAACGGGAAGCTTGTTATCAGTGGAAAGCCCATCTCCATTTCTAGGAGTAAGACCCCGCCAACATTAAATGGAGTGATGCTGGTGCTGAATATGTTGTGGAGTCCGTTGATCTCTCTACTACTCCAGAGAAAGCTAGGGCTTTCTGAAACGGGGGTGGGGAAGCCAAAAGGGTCATCATCTCTGCCCCTTCTGCTGATACCCCATGTTTATGATGGGCATGAACCATGAGAAATATGTCACCTTCCTCAAGATTGTCATAAGGCCTCTTGTACACAAACTGCTCCCCACCCCCAGCCAAGGTCATCTATGACAACTCACACTGTGGAGGGACTGATGACCATACTCAATGCCATCATCCATCCAGACTGTGGATGGCCCCTCTTGGAAGCTGTGGCATGATGGCCAAAGGGCTGCCCAGAACATCATCTCTGCTTCTACTGGCACCACCAAGGCTGTGGGCAAGGTCATCCCTAAGCTGAACAAGACTCACTAGCATGGCCTTCCATGTCCCCACCCATTGGTTGGGGATCTAACCGCTGCCTGGAGAAAGCTGTCAAATACCATGACATCAAGAAAGTGGTCAAGCAGGCATCATGGGAGCCCTCAAAAGCACCCTGGGGTACACTGAGGACCAGGTGGTCTCCTGAGTCTTCAACAGTGACATACATTCCTTCACCTTTTATGCTGGGCTGGCACTGTCTTCCACGACCACTTAGTCAACCTCATTTCTTGGTATGACAATTAATCCAGCTACATCAACAGGGTGGTAGACTTCAGGGTCCACATGGCCTCCAAGGAATAAGAGCCCCTGGACCATCAGCCCCAAAGAGAGCACAAGCGGAAGCTATTGAGGAGTCCATCCCCCATTGAACCAACACACTGAGCCAACACTCCTTCTCGGACCCCTGAAGGGGAGGGGCCTTGGGAGCCCCACTCAAAACATGTGCCATCAATACAATACAATGTACCGGGGCCTCCCCGGTGGCGCAGCGGTTGAGCGCTGGGTTGCGAAGCTGCCCTCAGCCTCTGCAGTGCCGGTTCGATCCCCGGCTGCTCCCCGGCCACCGGAGGAGGGTCCCACATGGCGCGCAGACCTCTCCTGCCGCCCGCTGCTCCCCTCAGCAGTGTACTTCGGTTCTTCTGCCTGCTCTGCTCCCTGTTCTGGCTCTGGTGAATTCTCTCACCCTCCCGCGCTTCTGACTGTACCCAGTGCATGTGTAAACAGAACAAACAAACAAACAAACAAATAAATAAATAAACATGCCTCTATAAAAAAAAAAAAAAAAAAAAGCTACCATTTAAAAAAAAAAAAAAAATACAATACAATGTACCCAGAAAAAAATAAAATGTAGGAAAGAGCAAAGGGGAGCCAGAATTTGTTGTTGTTATTATAGAAGAGAAACATCCTAAAGATTCACTTTCTCAGGGTGCAGTATAACACAGTGGGGAAGAGCAAGACCCAGTTCTGACACATATTAGCTGTGTGCAGTTTCTTCACTTCTCTGCAATTGTGTCATCATCTAGCAAAAGAAGAGCAAGAACACCTACCTCAGAGGCTACTGTGAAGAGTAAGTAACACTTAACCCATAGCTACATCATAGACCACTCAGTACATGTCAACCGAGACCAACATATGTACACAGGCAGGAGAGCTGACTGGACTCAGGGTATCTGACTCCATGGTGCCTTCATATATTGCTTCACTGAAAGCAGGATGAAAATGAACAATTCATTCAGGTACAGTACCCCAAGAAAGGTTCCCCAAAAGGCTAAGTTTAGTGGATTTAACAAGATCATAAGGACCTAAGGTGTAAAAACTCACCTTGATGGCCTGAAGTAAAGTATTATTCTGATTCTGCTCCTTCTTTTCTTTCAACTTTGCTTTCCTTATATCCCTCTGTTCAGTTCGCTGAAAATGAAATTCACATGCATCAACTCTAGGGACGTTGCTTCCTCGTGTTACCCCAGCCCGTCCCTAAATTATTAACTGGTCTCTCCAACCCAGCCTCCTGTGTCAAAGAATACCAGAGGCCAGATTCAGTTCAATAAACATGTCTGGGTGCCAGGACTGGTGGCAGCAGGAATTTTAAGGTTTCTAGTGGCTATGCCCAAGGAACTCGCTATCTACTGCAGAGGACAGACGAGCAGAGGCCAGTAAGAGGTCTGTTATGTATTACCCTAGCGGTGTTAATCAAGTGCTAGAAAACAAAAGGAAGTGGGCCTCCCTGGTGGCGCAGGTGGTTGAGCGCCGCACTGTGAAGCTGTCTGCAGCCTCTGCAGCATGTGTTTGACCCTGACCAGCAGGCAAGAATCCCACATGGCAAAGCAGACCTCTCCTGTCTCGCCCACTGCTCCCCTCAGCAGTGTATTTCGTCAGTCTGCCTGTTTTGTTCCCTGCTCTGTCTCTGGTGAATCCTCTCACCCTCCCGCGCATCTGGCCTGTACCCCGGTCCTTGTATAAAAATAAATAAATCTTAAAAGAAAAAAACAAAAAACAGAAAGAAGTGACTGAGTCTGCCCTGTCAAAGAGATGGGTTAGACAGACAAGAAAGATTTCACCAGCTAGAGAAAGGGCACTCTCAGTGGAGGCTGACATGGGAGTCTATGGGGCATGTCACCTTCTCTGGCAGTGATATACAGGCTGGAGTATAGGAAAAGATAGTGGAAAAACCCAGGACAAGAACTTCGCAGACTCTGCCTTTTGCACAATTACAGTCCATAAGAACAAAGTACCACCAGTCTACTCAGTCTGGCAGAAATATAATTTAGATTTCCTTTTCCTGCTAATCTACTCCGAACATACTGGTCCTACTCTTAGTCTCAGAATTATGGATTAATAAGGGTCAGCAAACTTTTTCTGTAAAGGGCCAGAGAGTAACAGATTTTAAGCTTTGCAGACCATGTGTGGCCTCTGTTATATAGGATCTGGTTTGTTTGTTGTTTATAACCCTTTAAAAATGAAAAAAACATTCTTAGTTCACAAAATGTACAAAAACAGACTAATAAGGGTCAGTTTACTGACCCCTGCTCTAAAATGAAGCAGCAACCATCCTTCATCAGCCCCACAAAGCCTAATACAGATTTTTTTTTTTCTTGTAAACAAAGTATATACCTTTTAGGAAGACCATGGCTGATAATTCTTGGCCAGTCCTCTAATCCAGTTGGCCAAGAGAGCTTTGAAATACTTTCTGTTGTTAGGAATTTTGATTATGCTATCAAGAGTGTCCCACTCCTTGGATTCTAATTCTACTTTACAGATTCTGCCTTTATAGATCAGCTACACCCAATGACAGTGTCTGGTCCACATTAGGGTACGACTGAGATGGGTGATTACAAAGGATGACTTCAACTCTGTCCAGTTTGTCTTCACTCTGATATACAAGATGTGAATGGGTGGATATGGCTTCCTGTGGTCTCACTTGAAGTTTTTGGTCTTGGCAGCCCACATAAAGTAGAATAAACACAAGGTCAGAGTTTCCCTGAACTGTGTAACATGCTGCCCTTTAAAAAAAAAAAAAAAATCAACTTTTTTAAGGTATAATTTATAGGTTTCAAGTGTACGGTTTGATGAGTTTTGACAAATATATACCCTGAGTACCCAAACACTCCTAGATATTCTATCCCCTAGAAAGTTCCCTTGTGGCATTTTTCAGTCAATCTCTCCCCCATTTTATCACTGGTAAGTTTCCTTCTAGCGCCAAGTAACATTCCATTTATGAATATAAGTCATGTGTCACTTAACGCTTTTGGTCAGTGGCCAAATGGCAATAACCAATAGACTTTAACCGGATGGTCTAGGTGTGCAGCAGGCTAAACCATCTAGGTTTGTGCCATTATGTTGATGTTCACACAATGATAAAAATCACCCAACCATGTATTTCTCAGAACATTGTTAAGGACACATGACTATACACTACTTCTATTGTTGGACACAGGCTGCTTCTGGGCTATTATGAGTAAAACAGGCTCTAAGCATTCTTACACAAGACTTCTTTATGAATATGTTGTCATTTCTCTTACATAAATACCTAAGAATGAAACTGCCAGGTTGTGAATAGGTGTATGAAATTGCTAAACAACCCGAAAGTGGTCATACAATTTTATATCCCACTAGCAGTGTAGGAGGGTTCCAACTGCTCCATGTCCTCACCAGCATTTGCTATTGTCATCTTGTGAATTGGGATCCCCTACAAGGTTTAATTTGCATTTCCCCAAAGACTAAATGTATTGTGCACATTTTCATGTGCTTATTATTTCATTTGAGAGTGTCTTCAGCCACATTAAACAAATTTTCATTCTCAATAGACTTCTGTGCATTCTGGATACAACTCCTTTTTAGAAAGCTCTCCCATTCTACAATTTGCCTTTTAATCTTCTTAATGATGTCTTTAACACAGATTTTTTTAGTTTTTACTAATTCCTGTTTATCAATAATTTTGACTTTCATGGTTACATATTTTAATCCTTTAAACCTGAGGTGATATTCACATGACCTACAATTAGCTGTTAACCATTTTAAAGTATACAATTCAGTGGTATTTAGTACATTCACTATCTTGTGCAACCATTAATTCTATTCTAAGACATTTTCAACAGCCTAAAAGGAAATCATAAGCCCATTAAGCAATCCCTCACAATTTACTCCTCCCTACAACCCTAGCAATCCCTAATCTGCTTTCTGTCTCTCTAGATTTACCTTTTTTGGCTGCTTCATATAAAGGGAATATAATATTCCCTTTTACATTTGGCTTCTTTTACTCAGCACAGTATTTTTTTTTAAATTTTTTAAAAAAGATTTATACATACATACAAGAGCTGGGGTGCAGGCCAGAGATGCCGGGGGTGGAAGGATCCACCAGAGTCAGAGCGGGGAGTAGAACAGGCAGACTGACTGAAACACACTGCTGAGGGGAGCAATGGGTGAGACAGGAGAGGTCTGCTGCGCCATGTGGGTTTCTCTCTGGCCGGCCAGCGATCGAATTCATCAGCACAGTATTCTTGACGTTCATGTATTTTGCAGTATGTATCAGTACTTCGTTCCTTTTCATGGTTTAGTAAATATTCCATTGTATGGACACACATTTTATTCATCAATGGATGAACATTTAGCTTGTTTCCACTTTTGAACTATTATAAAGTGTTGCTATTATAAAGTTTTTGTACCAACTCTGAAGAAATGTGCCTACTCAGATGCTTTGCCCGTTAAAAAACAAAATGGATTGTCTTATAATTATTGAGAAATTACAATTCTTTGTATTTTTTACATAAATTCCATAAATAGATATGATTTATAAATATTTTCTCCAATTCTATGGGTTTTCTTTTTTTACTTTCTTGATAGTGTCCTTTGAAGCACAGAATAAAGCCCAATTTATCCTTTTTTGTTGTTTGTGCTTTTTGTATCATTTCTAAGAAATCACGACCTAATCCAAGGTCATGAAGATTTATGCCTATGTTTTCTTCTAAAAATTTTAGTTTTAGCACTTAGATTCAGGTCTATGATCCATTTTGAGGTAATTTTTATATTTAGTATGAATAGGGGGTCCATAGTCATTCTTTTCATGTGGCTATCCAGTTGGTCCAGCACCATTTGTTAAGGCTCATCTTTCTTCATTAGATGATCTATGTATCTTTGTTGAAAATCAACTGTCTATGGGAGAGTTTATTTCTGAGCTCTCAATTCCATTGATCTACATGTCTACCCCTATGCTGGTACCACATCTTGATTACTATAACTTTGTAGTAAGATTTGAAATTGGGAAATGTTAATCCTCTGTTTTTGAAGATTGTTTGAGCCTGGATCCTCCATATGAGTAACAGTATTATTAACCTGTAAAAGTCTACAAAGAAGCCAGCTGGAATTTTGATGCATAGTGTATGGAGTCTGTAGAGCAATTTGGGGACTGCTGTTATCTTAACATGTTAAGATCTGATCCATGGTATGTCTTCCAATTTATTTAGATTTTCTTTAATTTCTTTCAACAATGATTTATAATTTCAGAATACACGTTTTGTGTTACTTTTATTATTCCTAATTATTGATGCTACTGTAAATGAAGTTTTTAAACTTCATTTTCAGAATGTTAATTAAAAGTCTATAGAATACAACTGATTTTTTTTATCTTGATGTATCCTACATACTAGCTGAATCATTTGTTGCTGCTATGTGCCAGAAATGCAGCATGTCATTAGCATGTTATAGGAGTCTTAATGCTGGGAGTTACAAAATACTATAGAAGCTTAAGGTTTTGTTTAAATGTTTTACTGTCTTTTCCCCACTTCTCAAGACCTTTACAGACCTAGCTATTTCTTATTTATTCAAATAATAGCCCCAAATATATCAGGTGGCTTACTAAATGTCAAGAAATATACCAAGGAATACACACATATTCTTTCCCCGCTCCCTTCCCTCACACACAGTCTTTATAAAACCTCTGAGCTATAGATTATGTTCACCATTTTTAATGTGGGGGACTGAATTTTAGAAATATCAAGAATGTGCTCAAAGTTATACAGTCTAGTTTTACCTGGAAATGTCTGGAATGTCCTCATTCTACTTTTCCAATTCCATTCAAGTAAGTAAATTCCTGCTCAGTCTTAAGAGATTAGGCTCCAGTATCACCTCTTTCCTCAAGCCTTCTCTGCTACCACCATCTCCACCCTGCTTCTGGCCAGTGCAATGTTAGCTACTACTACTATATATTAATATTATATATACACTACATATTCTTGCTGGCCTCTATCATATTAGACTACTTTTTACTTGTTTATTTGAGTCCTCTAGACTTCCAAAGGTAGAAACTGGTTTTGTTGTTTTGTTTTTTAAAGAAGGAAAATTTATAATGATCCAAGAGACACAATCTGAGAAATGCTAAATAATTAATGTTAATTAACAAACACCAACTGGCTACTGATCATGTCACCAACCTTCAGCTTGTCTGCTTTAGCCCTCACTTCCAGAAGCTTCTTCTCTTTGGCATCTATCTGCAGGCCCTCATCACACCAGTTCACTGCCACAGCAAAGTTTTTCAGTTCCAGATGGCATAAGGCACCTGCAGAACCCAGAACCTTTAGGATCCACAGACAACATGCATAGAATGAGCCCTCTTTGAGCAGGGAATACGCGTGCGTGCGTGCGTGCATACACAAACACACACACACACACACACACACACACACACACACACACACACACTCTTTCACCAGCCAGCACCCTGTAGGGGATGATGAATGATAAAGCCCCTTATACTACATTCCCCAGATGTAGAATATTTTTTGTCTCTCAAATCAGGAAGATTTCTAGGGTCCATTCAACCTAATTCTCCTGTAAGCCTCTCTGGTATTAAGGACTCAAAATAGGGATGCTACAGCCTAGTGGCAAAGAATAACAGGCTTTGGAATCAGAGCTGAGTCAGAAACTGGCTGTCATTTATCTGCTAGACATTAGATAAAGGACTCAGCATCTCTAAGCTTCAAGTTTCTCATCTGCAAATGGGAAAAATAAAGCCCATTTCAGGTGATTTTTTTTTAAAAACAAAGACAAAAGGCACAATTTGTCCCCGCCATTTATCAAAGCAGTGGCAAAAACCAAAGACATTAGGTCTCTCTAAAATTGGTCTTCATGGCTACCAGCTTAAGCTACCTTTCCTTCATTTTCCTCCAATTTTCTCTAGATTTTTCACAGAATTTCAAAATCTCAGAACTATAAGAGCTTAGTTATCAACAGAATCCAACCTCACCTTCCAGAAATGAGCAAATTGGTACTCAGAATAGGTCTAGTCAAGGTCACATGGCAGAGAAAACAGTTCAATTGAGGATTATAGACTTCTAGCATAAGGCCAATTCCCCTAAGACTACACTCAATTTACTTGCCAATCTTTGTTTAATACTTTCTTTCCCTATAGATGAGGGACATGGATCAAGTAACCATCCCTTAGCCATGAATATCTAAAGATGTTTACTTTGATAAACCATTTTAAGTTGGTCCATATGGATATAGGGAAGATTAATATGCGATGAATAAATTAAAGTTTGCAAAGCACCTTTGAGCTTTTCAAAAAAAAAAAAGGTAAAATACAAAAGTAATAAAAGCATGATTATTATATAGAAAGGTCATACTACAAGAGAAAAAATAATCAAAAATAATCTGAGAACATATCAGCATCAGAGATATCAGCTAAAGTCCCGTAACTTATCTTTTAATTAACATTAACATGGCATTTGCAGATCTTGCCTTTCAATCAGCTAATTCGGGGGAAAAATAGAAGGTGGCTTTTGGAACTGCTTTATTTTAATTAATTTTATTCTTTATTAATTTAAAATGAGGAGTTTCAATTTCTCTACAAATTCTTAAAACACAAAGGCTTAGATTATTCTCTAAGGAATTCTTTTTAAAATGGCATGTTGCTGTTGATAAAGAACAGGTACTTAATATCAAGATTGCAAAACTAAGGTGACTTTATTAGTATCTTAGCACCTTAATATCAAAGCTTAAATGTCTCAACTTTTAGTACAGTAGGTGCCAACTTTTTCATAACAATCATACCATAGTTGTACAGACTTACCTCTTACTATTGCTTTGAGGTGGCAGGGTTTTAGCTTTCTGGCAGCTGTCACATCATTGAGAGCAGAACGAAAATTGCCTAACAAAACACCATTCAGTAAGAGACAAATCCTGAAATCAGAATATTTCCAAAATTTTGTATGCAGTGACAAAGCACTCATGTACAATCTTGAAGAAATATAAAGTAATGCAAATGTTTTTAGAAAAAAAATCTAGTTGTGTTCATCAAGAAAAGTTTATAAACATCAGTTAACCTGTATAAAAACTATAAATGGCTAGTAAGTACATGAAAAGATGTTCAACATAACTAGTGATTAGGAAAATCAAAACTGTGAGTATTTTAAGTTGGTCCATATGGATTTAATAAAGATTAATAGGGCCTCCCTGGTGGCGCAGGCAGTTGAACGCTGCACTGTGAAGCTGTCCGCAGCCTCTGCAGCGTGGGTTCAATCCCAGCCAGCCAGGGAGAAACCCACATGGCGCAGAAGACCTCTCCTGTC